AAACAAAACAATAATCAATGAACAAACTAAATTTGAAAATAAAATTAATTTAATAATATCGTTTAAAAAATACGAATGATCTTGTAGACTAAAGTCACTTATAAAAACTTAATTTTCTTCGTTATTCTTCGACAAATTTTAACGATAAAGTCTGCGTCATTTGATTTCTTATTCACGAAAAAAGAGTTAAATTAACTTTTGCTCCGAACTTTTGAATAAGGAGCAGAATTTGATTGTCAGTCGAACTTATAACTTATTTAAAGATAATATTCCCTAATTAAAGATAAATATCCCCTAAATAATTAAGGAGATTGCTCAAAATTTATATGTTCATAATTTTTGAACACTAAGAGATTATTGCACGACATTAGCGCGACTGAGCGCACGAGTAAACGAAAAAAGTTTATTTTTATATATATTTTTTTTGATTATTGTTATGGAGAATGAAAGGGTAGTTACTATGGGAATGTTAAGGGTAGTTACTATGGGAATGCTAAGGGTAGTTACTATGGGAATGCTAAGGGAATTGATATCAATTCAATCTGACACAACTTTAAAGAAACTTTCAGATGCTTCCAAGAAAAAATTAATAGCTTAAAGAAATTTAAATGTGGGCTTAATTTTAACGGTGATCAATTTGAGACAAAGATAAGCAAAAAGTTGACAAAAAAATGGACGAAATTAAAGCTTCGTTAATCAGAATAAAATCTTTTTAAGGAAAATTAGTAAGCGAATCGAACGAGTATAAAAGAAAAACAGTCGACTTGGAAGATCGCAATCGCCGAAACAATTAGCGAATTGTGGGTATTGAAGAGGGAACCAATGAGACATACAATGATGTTTTAAAAAAACTAAAAACTCTTATTAAATTTCAAATAAATGAACCAATAGCCATAGAAAGAGCCCGTCGGGTTGGAAAATTTGAAAACAAGCCGAGGACAATTATTTGCAAATTATTAAACTGGCAGGAAAAAGAAAACGTTCTGGCTAGGGCAAGAAATCTTAAGGGGAAAAATATTTTCATTAATGAAGATTTTAGTGAAGAAACTATGAGAATCCGCAAAAAATTATTTGCACAAGCAAAAATGCATCGAAGCCAAAGAAAATATGCGAAGGTAGTATACAACCGTCTGGTCTTAAGAGAAATACCGAGTACAAGCAATGCGACGACAAACAAAGATAAGTGAAAACAAATTTATTTTTATTGTTTTTATTTTTTATATTACTTTTTGACTTTGATTAAAAATTATTAAACGATCTTATGAAAAATGAGTTCAACTAACAAGAATAATATAACAATTAATATTGTAAACTTAGAGTCTCCAATTTTAAACTTTTTGAGAACTAACAAAAATAAATATAATTTTTTGACTGAAATAATTATAAGTTGTCTCGACAACTCATACTATAAATCTGACGAGTTTAATAGAGAAAAAAACAATAAAGATTTTAGTATCCTAAATATAAACATAAGATCAATGAATAAAAACTTTGAAGCTTTTAAACATTTTTATTACTCTATAAACTATCTTTTTGATGTTATATACATCTCAGAAACTTGACAATTAATTTGATAAAATCATCAAAAAGAAAACAAAAGATTTATATAAAATTTCTAAAATCTAAAAAGGAAAATGACGAAAATACGTACAAATCATATAAAAAGTTTTATCGAAATAACTTAAAAGAAGATAAAAATAAGTTTTATATCAAGAAAACCTGATCTATTATAAATAAAGTAACTGGAAGAGAGAGAAAAAGAAACTCTCTTGCTTACCAAGTGAAAAAAATATATGTCAAGAGTTTAATAAATATTTTGTTAATGTAGGCGCCTCCCTTGCATCTAACGTTGTTCAGTCAACTAAAGTGTTTGATGAATACTTGGGAAAGAAACCAGCGACTAGCATATCAAATGAAAAAATAAATAAACACGAATTTAACAAAGCACTATTTGAACTAAAGTGTAACAAGTCATGTTGATATGACGACATTACCAGTAATGTTATGAAAAATGTTTATCTCTCTATGTTATGAATAGTATAAGTAAACCATTATTTTATTTAATAGCATTTTCATTTGAGAATATTATATTTCCTGATAAATTAAAATCAGCCAAAACTCACCCAGTTTTTAAAAATGGTGATTGTTCTTCTGTTTGCAACTACCACCCTATATCACTACTCCCTGTCTTTTCAAAAATATTTGAAAAGGTAATTTTTAATAGAATTTATGATTACATAACATTAAATAGAATTTATGATTACATGACACTTTCATACAAAAATCAATTTGGATTTTAGACATACTGCTCTACTGAACATGCTATTAATGAACTTTCCAATAAAGTATCTATGCCCTTTGATAAAGGGGAGCATGTACTAGGAGTATTTATTGATCTCTCTAAGGCATTCGATACTGTTAATCACGGAATTTTCCTTTCAAAATTAAAGCATTACGGCATTAAAGGCCTAACATATAAATGGGTCAAAAGTTATCGTTTTAATAGAAAACAGTTTGTTGCCCTGCAAGAGTCAGGTAATAGAAAACAGCTTACTGTCGTTGAGGAGCTCTTGATATTATTTGCGGAGTCCCACAGGGGTCAGTAATGGGACCTTTATTATTTTTAATATATATAATAATGATATGAATAAAGCTTCTCGGAAAATATCGTCAATTATGTATACAGACAATACAAATTTATTCTACAACAATTCTGATGAAAAATATTGTTCAAAACAATGAACACTGAAATAGAAAGTTTTAACCAATGGTTTATAGCTAATAAGTTATCATTAAGTTGTGAAAAAACAAGTTTTACTCTCTTCCATAAAATAAAACAATCAACGAATCTTCCGTTAAAGTTACCAAAACTGTCAATCAATAGAAATGAAATAAAAGATTATATTTGGTAACCACTCCTTTAATCATAGAAATTATATCAGATAGTTTAAATGATTTATAATTTTTTTGAAAACTGTTTTAGCAGTCGATGTCCTTTGCATGGTTACCAAAAATGTTATACTGCATCATATTACCATAACAAAATACTTAATTGAAAAGGCAAATACAAAGAAAAAAAACTGGAGAGAAAGCGCGCTCTAACGAACAGTGACTTAGTCAAGGTTTACACATGCATGAATTACCCATAGCTTAGAAATTATACCCCTTCCCATTTTTCTAAATTTTCATTTTGGCCACTAATCTAATTCTGCTTAACAAATAAAAGAAATAAAAAATTAATGATTATGTAGCAGCCCCTATTAGCACTCATGCGTCAGGGAGCCCGTCTCTACACTACTGGTATACCTACATGTTGACTATATTTGCCACTAGTTATGATAGAACTACCCTTTATGATGTACGTGAAAAAAATCCTTTCCCGATGCCCCACCGCAAACACTGCCTACATACATCATAGTATTACCTGAAGTATTAATAAGAAGTGCCCTCAAACAGACAATGGATTTAAATACGCTGCCTATCTCAAAATTAATGTTAAATCAACATGAAATGACTGTTCTTTGAAAGTAAATATTATAACTTAAATTAACATGAAATGACTGTTCTTTGAAAGTAAATACTATAACTTACATTTTACTTACTTACAAAGTAAAGTATAAAACTTCAAAGAAAAAAACTACTTTTATTTATAATTGTAAATAACAATTTTTTTCAAATTAATTTTATGTAGGCTGTTTTTGCTAATTAGTTACTTTTACACGTAAAAGTAATTTGTTTTATTTCACTTTGTAAAGTAAAATAAAATAGTAAAAATGTTTTTTTAATATTATATTTACGTAAGTTTACTTCATAAATAACTTTTTTTACATATAAAAAGTAAATTACATTTCGATGTAAATGTTTTACATAATTATAACCAAAATTATTTTTCAAAGTAATTTACTTTACACGACTTGCCATTAAAAGTAAGCTACATTTACAAGTAAAAGTAAAAATGCTAATACCCAGTGGACACGAACGTAAAAAGGACGTCTTTAAAACGTCTTATACACGTTTTGGACGTCTTTTGAAGGTTCAAAAGACGTCTTTTTTTGGTCCGGTGCCGACTGGGTAACTTTTACTTGTAAAAATAAATTACTTTTTCAAGTAACAGTTACTCATTTAAAAAACTAAACTTAAGTAATTGAGTTCTACACGCTATACAATTTATGTAAAAAAAAACCACCGATTTACTTTTAAATGTAAGTAAAATATATATTTTATATGAGTAGATGTTAGGTATGTGACATGAAATTTTTAAAATAATTAAATATTAGAATGTATATCAAGAAGTTCATAAAATATGTTTTTAGACCACCGCTAAATATAAAGGGCTTATCTATGCATTAAGGTAGGTGTAGCGGTGATGGTTTAATGCACTCTAATAATAAAATAATTCGTTTTCGTAAACAATTTTATTTTTATTTAAAAGAAGCAAATCGAGCATAAAAGATAACTATTATATTTTGCTACTTTACAACATAGTCTGGTTGCATAATCATTTACTCGAAGGGAAGGACGTTCTTACCCCCCTCTCACCTAAATTTTTTTATTCAAAATGAGATTAAAAATGCAATAATTTTATGATACATATATATATATATATATATATATATATATATATATATATATATATATATATATATATATATATATATATATATATATATATATAAATAGATTTTAATATGCACATTTTACTACATTACAAGGTGACCCTCTCCGACCTAAATAAAACTCAATAAAAAACAAGCTTATTGTATAAATTGTATAAAACAATGTTAAATATATAATAACTTATGTGAAGTAATTTACGCTTAAAAGTAATTCACGTTTTTACATCCCTAGTTTGGAGTTTTCTCCATGTCTGTGCACCCCTAGTTTTAAAGTTCAAAATTTGAACTTCAAAACTTAACTCGAATTTTATTTAATAAACTTTAAATTATATTAAAAATTATTAATGTTAAAGGCGATAATGCTTTTGATGTACTTTTTTTTAGGTTTCCACTCAATCTCTACCTAATCAACCTGAGAGTAAGTATAGCATATGTTTTATGTGTACAGTGCTGTTTTTATCCATGGCTATCAGGAACTATTTCCAACATCATTTTAGGATCATCATCATTTGCTGATATGGGGATTAACAAATTAAAAAAAAATTTTCTAACAAAAAAGAAATTCAAAAATAATGAGCTGTCTATAAAAAATCTTTAAATTTGATTCATTTAATTTGTTTAATCTGATGAATCACAGTTAAAAAAAGATGAAATGAAGTGTCTAATGTCATTACCCCATAATTTTCAATGGTGGGATGATAGTACTATTATTGGTAGTATAATCCCACTAATGAAAATTGGTGAAAAAAAAAAGATTGGTAGGGACATTAATCACAATAGATTCATCAAAGATATTGGTGAAGTTGCATTGAGTGAATTTCTGAATGCAACTATTTTCTTGATGTTTGCATCAGCCAAACTGAATGGTTAAAAATCTCTTCTAACTGATCTAAAAGTTTTTAAAGTTCCGAACTTAGCAAGATCTTTCAATGCAATTTTACACCATCAGCATGGGTAAACACTAGAATGTTCTTGTATACTTCAAATTATATTAGTCAGCTTCATATCACAGGACAGAATAGAGGGAGTGCTTTAAGGTTCATCAAATCTAATACCTTCTTGAGTTTTCCTTGAGATCTTCAGAAATAAATTGCAATTAGTAAACATTGTTGAACTTCTGAATGTTTTGCCAAAATTTGTGAAAAGTCTCGTCCACTGTAATGGCTCCCTCAGCCTTAAAAAGGTGAATAACATTAAGCAAAAACTCCTTGTAGTCATAAAAATAGTTTCTAGTTTCAAGTTCTTGCTGACAAAGCAATAGTAAGTTTTGGCAATGAACAACAAGTTTGGCTATAGGAGTCAGTTGCAACAATGATCTATGTTTTTGAAAAAAAGCTTTCAAGTTTTTTTTTGTTTAATTGATCAAACTTGGAGTAGAAGTTTTTCTCAAAAATCTGACTTGGAAAAAATACATTGAGAGTAGAGACCAACTTTTTCACACCAGAATTGGACAGCTCTGTGTTATGCTACACATGAACATAATCTCCAGCGTTCATTTGTGATCCTTCATTAAAAAGACGTTATGAACTTTAAAAAGTGAAATCAAAACTTTATTTGTCCAATTAAAATGTTGCCTGGAAGAAATAAAATTGGGTTGCCTTCTAATCCCTCTGGCTTACTTGGACACAATGTTTTACAAGGTTATGCTTTCTTGTTGGCAATGACTGATGTTACAAATCTTTAAATGCCACAGAGTGTTTTTACATGACTTCTACTAAATTCTTTCACTCAGTAGATTTTAAGCAGTTATGTGGAAGGCCATTGCTAACTTTTTGAAAAGCATTAAGAACATCTTTGTTCAAATGTGTTTTGCTTTGTAAGATGAAATGTGGAAAATTGTGTTTTACTATGCCAAATTAGCATATTAAACAGATATAAACGGAATTTTTTGTAACAAGATGAACTTTTGGTATTTGAGAAGTAAGAAAACTTTGGTTGAGTTTTAAGCTTTCCCTCTTCAAGCCTCCTAAGGGAGGGGGGGGGGGGGTAACAATCACACATACTAGTTGGATAATTAATGTTATTTACTTCAGAATTTGTTTAACTTTTCCAATCTTTGATTTGGTTAATTAATATCTGCTTTGGTTAAGATACAAAATACAAACAGTTTGTTCTCTTTGAGGTTTTTTCAAAAAATAAAAAATTTTTCTTGTCTATAGCAAACTTTTATTTAACAACCTCCAATAGTTACTAGTAAAAAATAAAAATGATGAGAAATAATTACAATACTAGATTTATATACTAGATTTATATATAATTTAGGTTTTTTAAAGCAGTTTAATGCAAAATTTGAAATCAGATTTTTTTACACAGATAGTGTAACCAGATTTTAAGATAGTGACTACCAATAATAGTCCAATCACCACACCAAAAGATTTCCTGGGATTATGCAGGCTTGGACGGGAATGGCGTGCGATCGGACGCTGTGTTTGACCACGCACATAATAACAATGTTTTGACAATAAAACCACGGTTGCTTTGATGTTTTAACTAATAAATACGTTTTTTTCGGCCTATGGGAAATGCGTTAAAAAAACCAAACTAAATTAAATTATAGAGAACAATTTAAAAAATATGTATTATTTTTTTTTACATATTTCCAACAAAAGAAGAGAAAAGAAAACTAAAACTGTAAAAGTACAAACTCAAAGCGACAATTATTTTAAGTTACGTTAGTTAACGTTAGAAATAAATGACTTTTATCTTTTGTTACTTTATTTTTTGCAAACAAGTTAAACTATGGAATCGCTTCATTGCTACAACGTTTAGGTCTTTTGTTGATGTCAGGCTGAGCGTTAATACATTTTTCCAGCAAGAGTTCAGTCGTAGCTAGACTGCTGAATAAACGATCTAAAAGCGTCAGAATTCGGCTGTTATACCTTGATATATATTTTTTTAATCAAGTCCGTTGGTTTATTGATCAATAAGCCTTATATTATAAATTTATATTTCTTCTTAGTTGCATTTTTTGAATCCGATAAATTTTCTTATGTATCGGAATAATAATTATTTTATAACATTTTTCTTAATTTAAATTTTGTTTAACAATTAATTCGTCACTTTATTTATAAGTGCTTCACACTATAATTTTTAAGTTTTTTTATAAAGTTTCAAACTTTTTGATGTCGTAATTTAAAGTAATAAATAAAATATTCGTTTAAAAGATTCATAAACATCGCAAGACAAAAAAAAATACTTTTTAACTTTTACATTTATCCATAGTCATAATATCAGATATGCATATTATGACTATGATTTATCCATAGTCATAATATCAGACAGTATATTATGACTATGATTTATCATACACTTTTATCATAAGCACTAATCATGCAAACCGTTAGTTCTCTCTCGCGGAGATTCTCATTAAACATAAGGGCGTAAACATTAGACGTTACTCTTTAAAATCTTTGCGCAAGAGAGCCAATGCTTTTAACCTAAAAGCATTGGTTCTCATGCGCAAAGATTTTAAAGAGTAACGTCTAATGTTTACCTGGTTATGTTTAATGAAATCTCCGCGAAGGAGAACTAATTATTTGACAAGGAATTAGTTCAACTTAGCGTGACGGTAGACTTTGTGGATGGAAAAAAAATGTTACAAATAACATTTTTAAATATTTTTAATAAAAAGTGTCTAATTAAAATAATCGTTACAAACACTTAGTAGATTTATTTTAAAGCGTTTCGCATGGTAAGTTTTAAAAAAAATTTATTAATTCCTACCGTTTATCAGAAACAAAATATTCGTTTAAAAGATTTAATATAAAAACATGGAAAGGTATATTCTAACGTTTACATTAAAAAAAAAAAAACATGCTTATAAATATAATAATACAAAAAAACTTAGATATTCTTTGGTTATATAAACGAAATGAAAGTAATCCTTAGAAGTAATTTTCACTTTGTTTAAATGCCTTCACATAATATACAAACTTAAGCAAAGATCTTTGTGAACGAATAATCTCAAAACGTTTTGAACGAAGATCTTAAAGATTGTCGTTCATAAAGTTTCGAGCTTATTCATTCCTTTCGTAATAAAAACTCGCTCAAAAAATAATCTTTGAAAAACAAAATATTCGTTTGAAAGATTTATAATAAAAACATAAAAAAATACTTTTAAGCGTTAGAAAACAAACTTAAATAAAAGTTTCGTATACGTTTTCGTAATAATAATTTGTTTATTTTAATTAATCTTTTGAAGTAATTTGTTATTTTCTTTAAAGGTTTTCACACAATATAAAAACTTTGAAAAAGATCAACGATTAAAAGTTATTTCGTAAATTTTACTAGTTTCTTTCGACGCATTTCTGAAGCGTTTTATTTGTCAAGGCAACCGTGGTTAAATTGTCAAAAAAAATTATTGTTCCCGTGGTCAAACAAAGCGCGTGATCGCACGCCATTCCCGTCCAAGCCTGATTATGACTTCAAGCACTTTTTAATTTTTTTTTAACTGTGATATTTGTTGGTCATTTTTAATATTTTCCATAAAATGTAAACATGTTTTTTGTTTTTTTAGTTAGTATTGTAGATTTGAAACCCTCAGTAAATTTAGCAGTACTACTTGCATGTTTTAACTAATTAAGTCAAAAAATGTGTGCGCACTCCTTGCATGTTCTACCTATTTAAATCAGTCGGTGTATGTAGATTGCCTGCATATTCTACCTATTTAAGTCAGTTGGTATATATACTTCCTGCATGTTCTACCTATTTATCTCAGTCGACGTATGCACACTCTGCTGCACTAATCCCTAAATAAATTAGTAAATAAAACAAAAATAATAAGACAATTATTTTTTAATTTTTTGTTAATTAAAAATTAATTTAAAAAAATAAAAATAAAAACATTCTGAATTTTTTTATTTTTATTAAAAAAACAAACAACATTTTAATCTATTAAGTTGTGTTTTTGTGAATTTTTAAAAATTACAACATTTAATTGATTTGTTTATTATATTAATAATTATTTTAATGGTTTTTTCATTAAGTTTACAAGGTTTTGTCAACTTTAAACACAAAGAATTTTTTTTCAGGACATGGTATCACCATTTTTATATTTGTTTTTGTTTATTTTATTTCATTACTATTTTAATCACCATTAATCAATATTTCTTTAAAAAAAAAAAAAAAAAACGAATAATAGTTAAAATAATTTTTAATAGTTTATTAAAAGTAAAAATTAAAAAAAAAAAAAAAAAAAATAGCAAGTGCAATTTTTTAAAGTTTATGAATAAAGTTGTTTTGTTTAAGAGAAAAAGTAATATGATCACTGTTACTGCAACTTAATATTGCTTTAACAATTGCTCTATTGATTAAGTTTATTTAGTCACGAGTTACTTAGTTACAAGTTACTTAGTCACAAGTTACTTAGTTACTTGGTCGCAAGTTACTTAGTTATTTGGTCACAAGTTACTTAGTCACAAGTTACTTAGTTACAAGTATATTCAATCTATCTTGCAAATGAATTAGTATTTTTAATCTATACTGCATTTGAATAAGTAAATAAATTAATTCAATTGCTGTATAGATACTGCTGCTACTAAGATTTACTTTTTAAAGAGACTTTAAAAAGTAAATTTTAGTAGCAGCAGTTTACTTCATTGCTTATCTAGATCTTTAAAATTTACTTTTTAAAGACCTAGATAAGCAATGAAGTAATTTTGTTTGTTTTAAATATTTGTGTCAACAAATATTAAAAACAAACAAAAATACTTCATTGCTTATCTAGGTCTTTACTATAACTACTACCATTTTAATTAGTCGATAAATGTAGCAATTTTTAGCAATGGGCTTTCAGACTAAAAACAGTATAATATTAGTTTACATCTTCATCACATTTAAAGCCTTAATTTTTATTTTTGTTATTCCACCTGCAATATTTAACTCATAATAATAAAAAATTTACTGTTAATTTTAGATAATAATTGGCTTGAGGTATAAATGTAACTCAGTTTGACAATATTGATAACTGACATTCAGTAAGTTGATTTAATCTTATTTTCTAAATGGTTTATGTTTTATATTTATTTAGAAATACCACCTGTGTGGGCTGCTCCAGAATTAGGCTATGATACAAGTAGAATTCGACCACATGAAATATTTATTACTTTAATAAACAAGTCAGGAAGAAGAGCAAATGTATGATTTTAAATATAAAATTTTATCTTTTATTTTACTATATAGTTATTATTTATATTAAGTAAATTATTATTATATGTTGTTAATATTATATACTGATTTTTATAATTTCTTATTGCTTATAATTTGTATAATACTAAAAGTAGGGGAAAGGCGCCTTTGATGGCATTTCCCCTAGTAAACGGTGGCTAAGTGGTGTTATAAATTTGTATAACACTATTCACTTAAGACCAAAAAGCATATTAAGTTTATAGAGTGTCAACTGATAAATTATTGTTATCATCATTGTAACATGATTTAACCAAAATTAAAATTAATTTCACCTACTGAAACAGTAAAATTATCAAATCAATTTTCAAATAAAATGTGCAAAGAAGTAAAGTGAAATAAAATTGTGTTCAAAATTTACATAGAACGCGGCTAATTCAAAAAACATTTTAAAAATGCGCTAAATGAAAAATATTCTGAAAAAGTGAAATTAATTACATCAAAGCTAGGGTTTGCAATCCCGGAAGTCTTTCTCAACCCGGGATTGAAAAACAGATACAGCATCTATAAAGTATTAAGTAGAATAAAAGCTGTACACACTTAAACAGAAATATGTTTTATAAATGATGCTGTTTGCATTACATCGTTACATGCACACAAGAAAAACATGTTAATTAATGTTAAGAAATTTCATCGAAAATAAGGAAATGTATCATGTTTTATGTGCTTTGAAATGTGACTTCAGGACGCACAACCCATCCAATGTTTCATTGCCCAACCTGTTATGAATTTTATTATTAAACAGTCCAGCGGAAAAAAACGCCCGCTCAGCCTCGACATTTGTCGGTTTCACCGCCATTAGAAATGAACAAACTCTTTCTAAATAATCACAACGTGTACCACCATTTTCAAATAATGTCATTTATTCTTGAATTTTTGATAAAAGTGTTTAATGCCTAACTGGTTGCATCAGTAATTGCGCTTCTTTAATTACACGATCAAGCTCCTCTTCAATACTTAAAGTATTATTTTTAGTTTCAGGTTCTTCAATAAAATCCAGCATATCAGACTCAACTGATGCTCTTACTAAAGCAGGATTAGAAGCGTTTAATCTTTACAGCAATTCTACCAACAGTTTTTGACATTTATATGAAGAAGGCACTGTAATTATTTCTTCATCGACTTCAATGGAGCTTTGACCTTTATGCAGGTATTGCAGAAGTCCACTCATATCAGTTTGGCGTTTATGTATACGAGCCATTAAAGCTATTCGCATTTCCTTGCTTGTGTCATTGTCAGCATGTTTAAATTTTGTAAGCATAAAATTAATAGCAATGTCAGCTGTAAATAGGTTAGAATCTCGGCAACAAATTGCTTCAACCGTTGTTTTAATAGGAACTAAAGTTTTAATAATGTCTGAAAATATTGTAAAATCATCATGCGACAGAGCTATAGAATTATCTTGCACTGTGTAAATATCAATTAATGATTTTTGTATACAATTTTTTACTTTATAAAATCGTTTAAGCATTAACAGAAGGCTGTTGAAAAATTCATTTTCAAATTCTGGCTGATTTGCATCGAATTCTCTTTTTTATAAAGAACATCAGTTACAGCAAGTTGTATGCATAATTATTGATATGCATATTTATTATGTTGCTATATCAACATAATTGTTGATTTGCAGCCAGCAACCTTCCAACTTTTTTCATAATATTAGCTCCGTCCGTCATTGTAGCTACAATGTCGCCTTGCAGATCAAGACAATAATCTTTAAGTTTGTTTTCTAATAGTTCCACGTACTTTTCTCCTGGTATTGACCCTGTTATTCGCATTAAACCCAAACTCCAAAAATGAGAATTTTTTCCATGAATGTTAATATTAATATAGCGACAGTTTCGAAGTGATGTCCATTCGTCAAAAGACAAAGAAAATTTCTCTCCTACACCGAATTCTGTACTCTTAAGCACTTTAATTTGCTGAACTAAACGTAATCTTACTTTTTTGCTGTACTCTACTACATGATTACTAATTGTGTTTACTGACATTGGTAGATTTAAGAATCCCATAGCAGTTAGAGCGGCACATAAATCTATTGAAGAACAAATCACATTAAATGAAAGTCCGTCAGACGCCGTTAGACGAGCAAGTGTAGCGTGAAGTGTTATATCTTTTTTCTGAAAAAAATAGAAAAGTATTCTGTTAGTGGTTTAGATTTCTATTTTGGTGGTTTATCTGATGTGCTTTCTCCTGTAATATTAGGTTGGGTTGGACTTTCGACCATCACATTATGCACCGACAACATGTGTATATGAAGTCCTTTTGTTAAACCACCACAGATTTTTAAAATTTTCTTGCAGTTTGACAATTTACACACCGCTGTTTGCCCTTTCTCTTCTCGTAGAAAATATTTCCAAACAGCTGAGTTACTTTTAATTGTAAAATCCACATACGCCATGCTTATTTAAGTTTTAATTTTAAGAGTAAACTTTGTAAGAAATGCGCGTTTTTTTTCAGTTTAAAAAAGTTTATTTTGCAGAATTACAGAACAGAATAACTGAAAATAGAATTACTTTCAATGATATTATACTAAATAAAAATTATTTTATTGATGCGCATAAATTGTTGTTATTTTTATAAGTTTTTTGGTTTCCCCTTTGTTCAGCTCAATCGTATAGGGAATCTCGGGATTGTTATTAGACAATCCCGGTATTTCGGGATTATAAAAAAGGCTGGGATCCCAGGATTGCAAACCCTAATCAAAACTTCTTAACAAATATTTTTGTATTAGCGAAACGCTTTTAAATAAAGTAACAATCTACTGATAATGGTTTTTTTTTTTAAATATATATATATAATTGACAGTTGTATATATTTTTCTAATTTATAATATATAAATTGTTTAAGTGAGCATTTCTATAATAAACATTATAATAAATAAAAAAATGTTTTGTTTTTATAAACGATGACATTCAACAACTAAGGAAAGTCTCTTTAACGAATTTTAATATAAAAATAATTAAAGTTAATACATTTAAAAAGATTAACAAAATTTTGTTGGAAAAAAAGTTTTAGAAAGCCGTTTCAATTAAATAAGTTTGATCTTAAATGCTTTTATATTATTGAAACGCTTTTCAATGAAGTAACAAAACACTTCTAATTAATTTTTAAAATAAGTATTAATAAACTGTTTTTTTTTTATTTTATTTATATAATTATGTACTTTTTATGAGAAATGTTTATCTTTTGAAACATTAAATAAAAAATTAAAAAGTGTAAATGTTAAAACAAAGATTGAAATGGTTTTTAATGCGTAAATTAAATAGACTAAGTATTTAAGTTCGATGAGTTTTGTTTTAGTTGGGTCATATATATATTTATTTTTTTGTGTTTTTGCTTTAACTAAGTATTTTTTTTATTTTCTTTTTCGTTAAGATTTCTTTTTACAATTTTTTTTAGATGAGTTTAGGTAAGTTTTGTAGCGCATTTTTAAATTTTGAAAATATGTCAAAAGCCGTGGTCAAATCATCAAAACAAATTATTTTTTGCGTGGTCATATAAAGGCCTGCGATCACACGCCTTCCTGTGAAAGCCTGTAAAAGAACTCTTTAATTTACCAGACAATGATTTAAACTAAACTTTAGATTTGCTTGATAAAGTTACTGAAACGAATTTAGAATACTAGATTACAAATTGGGCTATTTCAAAGTAAAACATCAAAGAGCCTTTCTCTATTAATGAAAATTGTCAGGATGTTACTCTTAGTCTAATATAATAAAATTCATTTTAAAAAAATAACTAATGTATTATGTCTGGAAACAGTTTCTTATATGATTGGGTTGGGGTATTTCTTATATGATTGGGTTTGTGCAGTGTGTCGAGTTGAAAAAAGAGTTTGAATAAAATTAATTTTGATTAAAATATCGGAAATAACCACCCAAATACTAAATATAATAACTCTTTATATATGGTGGTTATGATAAAACATATGCGCAAAAAAATATAGGATAAAACATAAAGTATTAATATATAAAATACCTTGACAACTTCAAGTTGCTAAGGTATTTTACATATTAATACTTTATGTTTAATCCTATATGTTTTATACTAATACTTTATGTTAGATATATACTACTTCAATGATATGTAAAAAAGTTCAAATTTTTTTGTGGATGTACTATATGGGTTTATTCTATTTTTTATTCCTGCTCATGTAACTGGTATATACAGTATATATTTAAATATAAAACATAACTAAAGCAAATTATTACAAACAAATCTTTTTACATAATTATTTGTTATAATAGTTTTTAAAATTGTTGTTCTCCTCAAACAGTCATGGAACTCCAAATCCCATATAAGCTTTCTGACACAAAAAAATTTTGTTCTACAATTATAAGAGCATTAAATGGAAGAGACTCTGATATTTCAAATACTAGATAATCTTAAAGAACAACTAGATGAATTTTATAGTGTAGAAAAAGTTGAATTTTTTTCATAAGAGATTTAATGTGTATTAAAAATCCCTCTGATTTAATCCTGCGTATTAATAAAGAAAGAGGTGTAACTCATGTGTAGGTTTTGTAAGAGTTTCTTTAGATGGTGGAGAAAACTTTCAAAAAATTGTTGTGAATGTTTTTGAAGAAGAAAAAGAAATAAATTTAAAAGTAGTGGAATTCAAAAAGTTTTTATTGCAGCCATTGTTCATTCATGAAAAATATGAAAACTTTAGGCTAATGCTTGAAAAACCTAATCTTGAATATGTAAACTATTATCTTGATTTTGATCTTAAATGTGCTAATGTATTATTTGGTCTTTTAACACACCCAGATAAAAAGTTAGCATGTGATGTAATGTTTAAAGTATGCTTGATATAGGAACTCTTAGAATTATTGCCAATCTTCATTCCTATTATAGCATATATTAAAAATGGATCATATATTAAAAAGCATATATTAAAAATGGATATTATAGCATATATTAAAAATGGATATATAGCATATATTAAAAATGGATCCATCAGATCTTCCATAAAGGAATTTTATTAATATTACCTTATCTTTTTCCTGTTGTGTAAAGTACCTTATCTTCTTCCTGTAATCCGAAGCTTAAGAAATTTTAAATTTGTAAAAGAAGCTTGTTTTGGAAGAAACCTATATTCTGTCAGAACATAAAATAACATTGTTTAGAGATGCTTTTCTATGCCTACAAGAAATTTTCTTGTAGGCATAGAAAAGCCTACAAGAAATTTTTGTGTAATTGAACGAAAATATTACAAAAACACGAAAGATTCGTGTTTTTCAATTTTTGTAGATAAATTTTTCCAGCCTCTAATACCTTTACACCAATTTTCATTATTTTCCTCTTGTATTGCAAATATCCAACAAGGTTTGCAATAAACAGCATCTAATTTTATTGAATAGCAAAGCCAAACTCTAATTGATATTCCCATTGCGGATTGTTTAAAAAAATAGGTTGAGGAAAAGTATCAATTATTTTGATTTGGACCATGTGGAAAATCAAAATTTTTGGATGCTTGGAACCTAAATTGAAAATAATTTTCTTTTCATTTTCAGAAACTGTTTTTTCAATATAGTTATACAAATCAAAATTATAAAAATTTAAGTTTGTGTCAAGATGATCAATTTGTTCATTAGTATAATTTGGTAATTGTACTAATTCGTTTTTATTATTTAAAAGATCTTTTACAACATTTAATGCACAAGTATGTACTGTGCATTTGCTATCTTCAAAGCTTGTCTCTATGCCAATGGTACCATTATCATCATTGTTATTAATATTTATTTCTTTATTTAATGAAGATTTAGATGACAATTATCATTAGTTACTTTACTGTTGTAAATTGAAGATTTAATTTCTATTTGAAAAAATGCATCAATTTTTGCATGTTTTTTAAATAAATCTTGTTTTTCTTTAGCCCTTTTTTTTTTTAAGCTCCAGTTTCAAATTTTCTTTTTGTATACATTTTGAAATTTTGCTTGCACTATCTGTAATATAAATATTATGTTTTAACTTATTCTCAGTGTTTTAGTGCAACAAACACTGTGTTTAATTAGAAAAAGAAATTTGATTTGTGTTTGTGAGGTAAATAATTGGTAAATGCTCTAAATATAAACTCTGTAAAAATATTTTATCAAATATTCAATTCAATAGGTACTACTAGAAGAAAATAAACAGAGCAGACCATATTTCTTTAAATTTTTCAATAAGTTCAAAGACACTTATATTTGTAAAGTTACAAGTTTATTGCAGTACTGAATACCCTGAAGCAAAGCGCTAAGATGGCATGAACAACTCATGCCAGAATACACACTGTCGTAAAGTTATTTCCTGCCTAAAAAGAGGAATTTGAAAGCTCTTATATTGGGTCAAGGCTGAGGCCCTTTGGGCATTGTTGCCCCAAGCCGTTGACTTCTCCTGTCTTTCCATAGTTATGCCTCTGCATGCTGTATAAATGATACCTTCATACTTAACCATTGTAATCTTCTCAAGAATGATGTCTACCTTGTTACTCTTGATGATCCAACCTATCATTAAACTTTTTACCCATAGAAAAGCAGCTGATCACTTTGGACTTTAGTCGTAGCATTATCTGCATGTTAGCATTAATTACTTTAATTTATTATCATTGTTTTTCCTCCATGTTTTGTCATGGATATATGCTGCACACTCTTTTATTTCTCCTGTTATTAAAGATAAGAATGGTAACATCTCTGACTCCACTAATTATTGTCTAATTGCTTTAGTTAAAAATTTCATTTGGACTCTTAATTTGGTTTTAAGAAAAAACATAGCACTTTGATGCCCATTCTTGTATGAAAAATCTTTTAAGTTTTTACTTGTCTCATGGCTCAATTATGCATGTTATCATGGCTCAAATATGCATGGTATAGCTTTGGTATCTTCTGTGAAAAAACTCATTCCATTGTCTACATGTTGCATATAGTAATGCACTTTGTCTGATTCTAATTAAACAACCTTGGAACAGTGCTAACGAACTATTTTTAAGGCATGATGCCATTCACTTAATGTTGTTGTTCATAAGCAACAATACTCTTATTTATTATTGTTGCAGCAAACAATGAGAACCTCATTATAAAATATTTTATCATGAGGTTTGAGTCCAAAGCCTAAAAACTTTCAAGCCTGTAAAAGAAGATTGTTTTGGAGAAAAATTAAAAGATTAATAAAAATTTAATGTTATATAGATGTTATACTTAGTGAAAATTTTTAATGTCATTAAATTGTAAAGTAAAGCTGTCATCCAAAAATCATGAGGTTGGAGCAAAGGGAAAACCCAAAAATTTAGATAACCTATGCCCACCTTTGTTAGATTTAAAAAAAAAAAACTTTTTTACCGACATAAACTAAATCAAAATTAATCAACTTTAAATTTCATTAAAAAATATTTTAGCATTCAGGAGTTGTGGCTGTAAAATTAACAACCCATTCATTTTTTTATTGGGGGGGGGGGGAGAATAGGATTGCAGAGTTTTGTGCTTTTTCACTCTTAATAAGTGAAACATATTTAAAAGTTTAATCATTTTATTGTAATGAAGTTTAATCAAGTTATTATAATGAAGTTTAATCATGTTATTATAATGAAGTTTAATCATGTTATTATAATGAAGTTTAATCATGTTATTATAACGAAGTTTAATCATGTTATTATAATAAAGTTTAGTCATGTTATTATAATGAAGTTTAATAATGTTATTATAATGAGATTTAATCATGTTATTATTATGAAGTTTAATCATGTTATTATAATGAAGTTTAATCATGTTATTATAATAAAGTTTAATCATGTTATTATAATGAAGTTTAATCATGTTATTATAATGAAGTTTAATCATGTTATTATAATAAAGTTTAATCATGTTATTATAATGAAGTTTATTCATGTTATTATAATGAAGTTTAATCATGTTATTATAATGAAGTTTAATCATGTTATTATAATGAAGTTAATGAAGTATTATAATATTATTGAAAAAAAAACACCGAAAATCTAGTGCTGTTCCTGAGACTTCCTCAAGTAATATAGACCAGTCATTTTTGCACATTTTAGTTCATAAATATTCGGTTTGTAGATCTGATTGTGCTGATTTTCCCCCAGATTCTTTCTCAATCTACCAGGTGACACTATTTGATGTAATCAGTTGGAGTGGAACCAGTATTTTTAAGTTTTAACTTTAAATCATTTAACTAAGTTAGTCTTTAATTATCTCAGTAATCACATTTTTCAGTTTTTTGTGACCAGTTTTCCTTGAATAAAGCAAAGAGGCTTATTAACAAAATGATTTCTGTTAGCAGATCCAGGAAAATATTTAGGATTAAAATTTTCATAATATGTTTTTTCTTATCCATTTAATACAAAACTCTTTAATTATTAACCATAATTTTTATGGCTTTTTTTATTATAATTATATTTAAATCATCCTTCTATTGAAGCGAGTGAGCTTATTATAGAGGGAGTGAGATTATTAAAGACAGAGTCTTCTTTGCTGTGGTTACTTTTTAGGCTTGAGGTCATCATATTTTTTACTTTTTTGAAAAAGGTATAAACTGAATAACATGAATACCCTTAAACTTTATATAAAAATTAGTAAGCCACTATTTACACAAAAGATTGGTTGAGTTTTGTTTTTAAATTATGACTTATTGAATTCTGTTTAATCTATAACTTATAATAGGGGTTTAGAGCAAATTTTAATTATTGAATGAATATTTCAGACAGATAATTAAAATATTTAAATATTTAGATCTACCAGTCAGATCCAGATGGAGCTGAAACATTCTATCGCTTTACAATTCGACCAAATGAGCGAAAAACATTAAGTTTTTTTCCAGACAGCTCATTCTTTGAGGCATTTGATTTTTTAACAAAAAGAGATCTTTTTATAAATGGATACAGAAGACTGGAAACAGATAGGTTATATACAGGATATCCAAATGATGCTTTCATTACAGCGTGTTAGTAATTTTTATTTTTTTTATTTTTCATATTGTTACTTTTTAATACAATGTGCTTTGCTAAATCTTAGATAATCTTCCACCGGAATTTAATCCAAACTCAAAATCACCTCCAGCTTATATTGAAACATTAGTTATGGTTGATCTTTCGATGATTAAATACCATGGTGAAAATGTTGAAAATTTCACAATGACTATTATGAATATGGTTAGCTTCTCTATTATTAATTTTTGAACTTTTTTAATTATGAGTTTTTTATAACAATCATTTAATTTAAAGGTAACAAGAGTATACATGCATAAAAGCTTAAACATTCCGCTTTACATTTCTGTAACTAAGTTTGTGAAGATGGAAGTCCCTCCAGTAAGTATGTTTTAAGTCATTATATTCCTGTAATTTTTAACATGTAAATTTGAAAAGATAACAGTCCTCCTAGTAACTGTTGTGACTATTGAGGAGTAAAAGAATAAATAGATTGTTACACGGTAGTAGTAAAGGTTATTGTTTATTTAAGTATATTTCTATTTATTCCACAAACCTTTATTCTTTGTGTAAAGCTAACAGCCAATAAAAAATCCAAACAATTATAAGTTAATTACTATATATTCTGTTTTACTAAAATTTTCTAACTAATATACCAGATAATATTTTACATGTAACTTAATATTTGTTTTACTTAATATTCTACACAGTTCTTCTTAACACCTCTTCTTCTACTATATCTTCTTCTCAACATCGAACCATTCTCTGAGTAAACAAACGAGCAACAAATTTCATCTTCCTCCTCAACTTCTATTTCATCTTCCTCTTCTCTATTTATATCATTTCAGTCTGATCGGACGCGTTTCGGTCCAATTGTTTTTAATCAACTTCGACTGTTAGACGCATTCACACTTCAGTACTTTGTTTACTTATCGATTACTCTTGATTTGTTGTTACCTTCATAACAATAGTTGAATTGATTGTTTTAGGTTTGTATTAGGTTAGCAATAAGTTTCAAAAGCAAAAATAAAATAAAAACTTCAAAACTTTGTTTTTAGGAATATAAAAAGCAAAAAGAAAAAACTTGTCTTGAATTTGTTATAACTAATTAAAAGCAGACAAAATATCATGTGACTTATTATATCAATGAATTTAACCAGCCTCTAACTCACTAGTTTATTCAGATGACAGGAACAAAGATATTCAATCCAAAACTGTTTTTTTATTTTTTTTTTAAATATGTTTGTAAAAGTATGTTTTCCATGATAGGTAGCATTTTAAGATTATATGGTTTACAGTTGTAAACCATATAATCTTAAAATATCTTATCATATTTTAATTTTTTTTTACAATTATTTGATTCACACACACAAAAAAAATAAAAAGAAAATGGAAATTTTTTAAGTTCTCACAAGTATTTTTAACATTTAAATTCAAAATTTTAGTTGTCAATTTGTTCAACTATCAGCTAATGGTCACCAGCCAAAATCTGATCTGATATAACCCAGATCTCCTCCAATGCAATAATATGTTAACTTGGTTTTTTTGTTTAACAAAAATAATATTTTCATAATAACAACTTAGAAACAAAGCCAGCTCAGAAACAAAATCACTGTCATTAAGGTTATCAAAAAGTTCTTAACCTCCGTCAATGTAAGGTTGGAAGTTAGGTTGGCATTGTTGATTTTTGAGGGCTGATAAAAATATATATAAAAGTTTATAAATTATTGTTTTAATGTTATAGATTAGACAAAATGAGTTGCTGTTGTTTATATATTAATATTGTTTAGCCGAATTACAATATTGAAGCTAATAATCCTTCGAGCAGTGTTGAAGTAGCATGTGAATTTGCAAACACATTTTTTAATGACAATTATACATTTGATTTTGTCCTTATTTTAACGAGGTAGAGTTTTTATTGTTAAAAGTTTATTTACTTTATATTAAAATTTATAAAGATTTTCGAGATGATTTACTTTTATTTAGTTATTTTTAAATGCTGTAAGTAATTAATAGTATAACAATAATATTTAAAAAAATGAGCAAATTAAACCTTAAACTATTACTGTTAATCTAAAAACAATAAAGTGTGTTTGACAAAATTATTTATTCATTAATTAACAATTATGGTGCGAGTTTAACGTTACATATAAACATATTTAACTAATTTATACACAAAAACGTCTAAACATTTTTATGACTGTGATTATGTATGCAGTATGCAGGTAAGATGTAGAGATTATTAGATTCAGGTTTCACAAGCTATTGCAAGACACAGGCAATTGGAGTTGAAGGACCATGCTCAATGTGGGCTGCTTGTTTTAGACAATAAAAGAGTAACCAAAAGTAAAGTAGAATCCAATGAAGGAAAAAAGATTTACAATGACATTAGAATAAAAATAGATTTATTATTAATCCTAATTAAATTTTTAAATTTTTAATTAAATTTAAAAAAATTTAAAGATTAAAAATTAGATTAAATCTACCAATGGGAGAATAAGGAGAAATTGAGCTTAGGTAAGTAAAAAAACATAATCAAGGAAACCAGTTAAAAAGTTACTATTTTAAGGATAGATAGTAAACAATAAATATCGAAAAAAAAAAAAAAAAAAATGAAGCAGTACAAACAAAAGTGCATAATAAAGTCAGAAAATTAAAGTGATTGTTATGTAAGTAAATGTTCATATTGAGCATTTGACTATTGCAGTCTTTGCAAATAAGCATGTTATAATCATTAACACTAAGATTATTATTAACACAGCAGATTTAAAGATAAAAGCCAGACCAGCAGAGTTAAGGATAAAAGCAAATCAGCAGAGTTAAGGATAAAATTAAAAAAAAAGTCAAACAGACAGTGAATAGGATTGATGAGAACCATTAAGCTGAGTTTATTTTTCCTTTACTTCATTTAAAAATTGCAGCAAGTGTTTCATTTCAATGATTTTATAAAAATAAATAAATAAAATTAGAGATAATATTTCTAAATTAAAAGTTAATATTTGATTTTTTATTTGTATTTAATAATTTAGATTAAAAAAAAAAAGTTATTTTTAATTGCAATATTTGTTACTTTTTTTAGAACTTATGACTTATACATTATTTTTTAAGTTAATTTATCAGCTTTAAGTTGAGTTTAGTTCATGTTATTAGGTTGCTCATTATAATTTTTAACCGGTTTTATTTCTTGTTATAGAGAAAACATTGGTCCAGCAGGTTAGTTTTTTTAATATTTAAAAAACTTTTATTTCTTTCTTGAATGCTGTGGCTATTTACAAATCCATATAATTTAGGCTATGCATTAATGTATACCATGTGCTCAAAAGGTAGTTGTGCACTAGTTAAAGAAGATGGTTTTGACACAGCATTTACTATTGCTCACGAGTTAGGGCATTCGTAAGTGTAATTTCAAGTTACATGTTTTGATCTGCTTGTTGAATTTGTATTTATCTTAATATCAAAATTATATTTTTAGCATCAAATTTATGTTTTGTGATGAACATCTTAATGTTCTTAATAAAGTATTTTATGATGTTCCACAATATTTAAAGATAAAAAATTATTGCTCTTAAAATTGTGTTTCTAATTATAATGCAAAAACACTATTTTAAATCCACACATATAAAGGAACATATCTATACATTGATTTAATTCTGTATTGCCCTGTGGATATTGTTTGCTAAAAGTCTGTATACATCGTATATTGTTTTTCACTAATAATGACTTAAATTTGCAAAATTTATTAATTAATAACATAACTTGAAAAAATTTTCAAAACTAAATTCTATAAGTAATTCCTGTAATTTTGGACTCAATTGATATACTCAACTCAGGCAAATCTGGTTAAAAAAAAAAGACAGAATCATTTTTCTTTATTTGAAAATAATATTATATGAATTACCTTTTTAATAAGATTTTATGATTACTTAAAAAACTGCAAAAATTCATGACTATTCACAAAATACATGATTCATTTATATTACTCATAAGGTTTTCTGGGTCTGAGTAACCAGACTCTGACTCTTAAAGTCCAAGGGTAAATACAGGAATCTGATACCCTATCTGAGATTTGACAAGTCTCATCATGGTGCATTATCATTTTCCATTAATCAAAACATCTGTAATATTAAAAGCAATAACTGGGTTTCTTATAATTTACTTACCAGAAGTTTCTTAAAAATAAACCATATTGTTAATATTTTGTCATTCAACAGGTCTATCATCTGACAATAGGCCAATATAAATTTAATGTTTTGTGATAAGTCTGACTTTTCTTTTTAACAAAAGAATGCTTTACTAAATCCATAATTCATAGCATATTTAGTGGTTGTCGTAATGTTTTAAGTTGTAGTAATGTTGTAGGTTGTAGTAATATTGCATGTTGTAATAATGTAGTAGGTTGTAGTAATGTTGTAGGTTGTAATAATGTTGTAGATTGTAGTAATTTTGTAGATTGTAGTAATTTTGTAGATTGTAGTAATGTTATACATTGTAGCAATGTTGTAGGTTGTAGTAATGCTTAAGTTGTAGTGATGTTGTAAGTTGTAGTAATGTTGTAAGGTTGTAGTGATGTTGTAGGTTGTAGTAATGTTGTAGGTTGTAGTAATGTTGTAGATTGCAGTAATGTTGTAGATTGCAGTAATGTTGTAGGTTATAGTAGTGTTGTAGGGTTGTAGGTTGTAGTAATGTTGTAGGTTGTTGCAATGTTGTAGGTTATAGTAATATTGTAGGTTGTGGTAATGTTTTAAATTGTAGTAATGTTGAAAGGTTGTAGTGATGTTGTATATTGTAATGATGTTATAGGTTGTAGTAAAATGTTTTATTGAATGCACTAAAATCATTTCTTTCTTTTTAACTTTATTGTTTTCGTTATTAGACTTTAATTTGTAAAGATATTTTAAACTGAGATTAAGAATTTTTTTTTCCTTTTTTTTTAAACTAGACTCTCACTCAGGCTGCTAAGAAATTAGCTTGGTAGTTTTTACTCTGAGTACATTTTTAAACTAGACTTGAATTCTGCTTCTCACTCAGGCTGCTAAGAAATTAGCTTGGTAACTTTTACTTAGGTACAATGTTTTGTTACTCATTCCACATCTCATTCCACCTCTGCTATAGCTGTAGTAAAGAAACAAATTAGAACAAAACATAGCAGAACCAAAACAGAGTGAAAAATTGTATTTTTACTTATTTTTTAACTGATGACTATGCTATAGTTCAAGAGTTATCAAAATTTTGAGTTGGACTTCAAAAGGTCTCACATTTGCCTTTCAATTGATTTAATAGTTCCAGGAACAAGCGTAGTTTAGTTTTGATCATAATATAAAAATGTAAGGTATGATAAAAAAAATAAACATTTGTTAAAAGAAATATGATTTTAGAGTGTTGAAATAATCAATTAGAAATAGGGTTGAACTTTTACGGTAAAATGGTATTAAATAAAAGATGTGTTTTTTCACCTGAGGATTTGGTTATATATTTATATATATAACCAAATCCTCAGTCCATGTAGTGGCACAAGTTTTTTCTTCTTTTTTAGTTTAGGAATAGATCATGATGAAGGTCCGTGTGCTTTAGGAAGTAGTCCTACTATAATGGCCAGGAAAATATTAGCTACCAGTGCAAATTATATGTGGTCAGAATGCAGTCGAAGAATTTTGAAAGAAAATCTTAAGTAATAATGCTAAATTTTTATACTAAAAATATATATTTTTTTAAATTTCAGAATGCTTACTATTTGTTATAATGCAGTAATTAAAATTAGTAATTAGTATTTATTTATTTTTAGTTTTGGCATTCTTAATTGACAAATTTTGACATGGTTTAATTTGTTAAATTTTCTTTAGTAGTTATTTCCTGGATTAAATCTATTCAAATTATAAAGGTTTTATTCAAATTTAATCTATTCAAATTTAAAAAGGTTTTATTCAAATTTAATCTATTCAAATTTAAAAAGCTTTTGACTATAGGGTGTAAAATTTTGAAAAATTTGTTAAATAATCTTTGATAAAAAATCTTTGATAAATAAGCTTCTAATACCTCATCTTAAGTCTCACAACTGACTCTTATAATTATTACATGTTTTGATCCTACTCTTGATTTATGATAATTGTTACACGTTTTGATCCAATTCTTGTAACTTATTAACCATTATAGCAGAAATTATTGCACAATAAATAGAAATGTTGAAGGCTATTACTCTTGACCAAATGCTTTTGATAAAATCTGAGATGTTGGTATTTTCCAAAGATTTAATTCATATGGTGTATCTGGGAAAATTTTAAAAATTATTGAATAATTTCTTTCTAGCCTCAGTACAAAAGTTGTCTTTGATGGATAATAACTTCCTGGGTTACACAAGGTTCCAAAGCATGTAGATGTGGTCCCTCTTATGTGACAGCCTGGAGCTTGCATAGGCTGGTGAAATTTAAAATCCAAACAAGACTCAGCTGTTAACAATTATTAAAATATTGTTGGTGAATCAAAATATTGTTGATGAATTCATCTCACTATATCCTCTTACTTTAAATCTTCTAGAATTATCCTTCACTACTGACGTCTCAAAAAAATCTATTGTAAAGTTAACATTTGCAAATGTTTAATTAATTAATTTATTTATTTATTTATTGTGATTTAATTTATTTATTTATTGTGATGAACTTTTTTTTACTAATGATTTTTTCGCTCTCACTCTTTTAAATAAGGTTAAAAAACACGTAAAATTTGTTGGATCTACTTTAGCTGTGAAGGTTGAGTTTCTGCTCCATTGTTATAAGGTTGCATCTCTTCCTTTTTTAAACAAACACTAATATGGCCACTGCTTAAGCAAACTATCATAATTTGTTCTATCAACCAAAACTCTATCTTGAATGACTTGTTAATCCAGCAAAATTATACTCTTTTACTGTAACTATTCCTTCTTATTCAAAAAAACTTTTATTCACTAGTTTTTTACCTCAAGCATCGGTGCTTTGGAATACTCCCCTTTATGCTTTTCAGACTTGTAAAATGTTTTTTAGCATTCTCTTGCTCTTTACTCTTTTTTGGTTTCTTTTTAACTTAATTAATGTTTGCTTCCAGCCTAAATAGTAGTAACATTAAACATAAATAGTTTCAGCCTTACTATATTACCGTGTTTTGGAACTTTTTTCCAGTGTCTTCATATTTTCCTGACTAATAAAATTAACAAGCTTTAAAGTCTCAACCGCTTTCTTGGTCAACTCTCTTTACTCAGTTAACTTGCAACTTAATTTGAGTTTTACTCAGTTAAACTCACAATTTAATTTGTGGTTGCTTGCAACCTTGTTGCAAATAAACTTATTAAAAAAATAACTTTGAACTAGAAGTATTTTTTTTTATATTTGTTTAGTTGTTTGTTGTTTTACTAGTTGTTGTTACATTATTCAATTTTTGTTTAAAAAATTGAAATATAAATTAAATTTAGCTAAAGTTGATTGAATTTAGTTACTGTAGTCTTCTAAAATAAACAGTTTACTTTTGTAGTTATTTTCTCTGTTTGGCAAATGTTCCTAAATTAATTACATCATTTCAAGACAATATGATGAATTTGCCTGGAGAGTCAATTTCGTTAGATAAGCAATGTAAAGTACGCTATGGCGACCAATCTATTTCCTGCACCACAGAATCTAAATCTTATGTAATTTATTTGTTTTAGTTTATTTGTGTTGTTTTTTATTAAGATGTTGTATTAATTGCTTACAAGTTTAAAACTTTTGTGTTTATCTTTTGTTGTGATCTGATGTTATTTTTGTCCCAGCAATCATCTGTGTGTAAACATTTATGGTGTCATCCTAAGTATGGTACACCTTGTGTACCACTTTGGTCACTATCTCCATTAGAAGGAACTACCTGTGATCAAGACAAGGTAAGTTACTAAAACAAACTTTGCACTGTTAATAACTACTAAATGAGGATTTTATATTTTTATACATTTACATACATTTATTGTTAATATGCATATATTTGCATGCATTTATTATTAATATGCATATATTTGCATACATTTTGCATTCAGTTTTTAAAAGTGGTTTCTAAATTTATTCCAGTGGTGCATAAATTCAGCCTGCATTGTTAAAAAAAAAGAATTTCCAGTTCATGGAGGATGGTCACAATGGTCAGACTACACACCACCTTGTGATAATTCAACTAAAAGTTTGTTGATTCAACAAAGAACAAGATCCTGCACAAATCCGAAGTAAAAATTCTTAATAGTGTTTTGCATATTGTTGTATAAAGTTGCTCTTAAACATTTTTGCTTCTCACTCTAAAAATTGGTTACAACTCAATGCAACTAAGGCATAGAACAAACAAACTGGTAAAAAAAAAAAGCTGATAATTTAAAACAAAGCCGATTGGTTGTTAGTGCTAAACCTAAAAACTTTTTAGTTAATGGTATTTAATTTATGCAAACAAAGAATTCGTATTAAAAGTAATTTATTTATAAAGTTTGTTGCCTCTATTCTTTGATTGTTTACGCATTCTGAATAGAATAATTTATTATTTCAAGATGGCCGAATAAGTCCCGAGTATTTTAAAAAATGATACTAAATACTGAAAACAGTTTTTTAAATAGGGCTAAAAGTTATGATTATTTATGCAAAAACAACTTTGGTAGAAAAATTAATACTACCATAGGTTACCTAATTCTAACATGACATTATTGTTAAACATACTCATTTAGGTGTGGCATTGAAAATAGTAACTTCAATTTTCATAAAAAAATGGTTTTTCATGGATAATTTTCCCAAACAATGTCTGATTAGAAATGTCAAATTACATTCATTGAAAACAAACACCAATACATGCTTTTATGAAAAAATCAAATTCATAGACTTATCTATAGCCAAGCCCCAAGGTACTTAATGTTGAAAATTGCATCTTTTTTAAATAAAACTACGCTTGACGATTTGTTATAGTCGCATTACTTTTACCAGATTATAATAGTGGTTAGAATAATCTTTCCATACATACCAAATATGTCATACTTTTTGATAAAAAAACTTACATATACTGTAATTGAAAAAACTTACATTTTTGTTCGAAAAAATGTGTACCAGGCCTTAGTTGCATTGAGAAGCTTGCACATTTGCAAAATTAATGTCCATTTAGTAAATGGTTAATAATATTACAGCTAGCATTATGTGGTGAATTCCATAAGTTAATACTAGTTAAATGAACTGTTGAAAATTTTTTTGCTTCAATTAAAAATTTTTTTTTTACCTCAAATACTTTTTTAATTTTGCTGTTCTGTGTATAAAAATAAAAACTTGGTCTAAAGCTAGGAGTAAATAGTAACAGTGCGAAATCTAAGAATAAATAATAACAGATTATGAAATCTAAAAATGAATAATATTGGAGTGCGAAAGCTAGCAATGAATAGTAACAGAGTACAAAAACTAGTATGTTTTAAAAAGCTTAAAAAAGTGATTGATTTTTACTTAGTCTTGAATAAATAGTAACATAGTACAAAAGGAATGAATACTAACAAAGTATAAAAAGGTTTTTAGAAAAATGTTTTTATTTAAAAATTAATAATGTACTACATTTCAATGTGTTTGATATTTTGTTATGGTTTAAAATGCAATGCAATCTTCATTCAACTGAGTAACTGACAGGTTTTTTGAATAAACAAAGTTTTTTGTTTTTTTGTTAATTCACCTCCCCAAGGCCAATAAGGCCACTACAGGCGAGGAGGCTACTTAATTGTGGTTATAACCCTCTCTATAACTTGGAAACATGAACCTTGAAGAACAAAGTCACTGCGCAGAGAAACAAGTTGAGCGCGGTTCTACCAGGGATGCAGTGGGTATTGAACTTGGAACCTCTCGCTTATGAAGCGAGCGCTCTACCACTACCGCATGTTTCAATTTTTTTTTAACAATTAAGTTTTCCAAGAAAAACCTCATACAAAACTTGCTACTAAAGTGTTAGAATTTTGTGACAAGATAGGGGGGGGGATGGGAGGTCAAAAGCAGTCAAAAATTGTGTGACATAATTTATGGACGACCTCTTACTTTATAATTTGGAATTTTAAATAAGTTTTGAATAAATTTAAAGTAAATTTTTAAGTTTTTATAATTATATTTTATAATTTTTTCATAATTCATACTGTTTTTATAGTATTACTTGGATTAAATTCATGAATTACTTTTCCACAGAAAACAGTACATAATTAATAAAAAAAACATTCAAGTTTGCCAAAATATTTTATGTTTTTTTCTGATTTTCTTTTAAATGGTGTTAAAAAAGATTTATATTAGAACATAATCTGAACTATTTTTCAAATTAAAAAAAGTTTTAAAAAGCATAAAAAAAGCGATTTTTCATTTAATCTTGATTAAATTTTCCCCACAAATACTCCTGCCACAGAAAAGGCTATTTCTGATTCAATCAATGTTGGCTTAATGGTCATTAATTCTGTGTATATTTTGCCTGAACTTTCATTACACTTTCCATTTGCCTCAAAAATGTTAATTACTTTTATGAAGTTTTTAAATTACAAAGGTATTTAAGAGCTCTTGTTTCTACTTGTTTGAAGTTTCTATATTTTTTTTAAGTACTCGTTTGACATTACAATTTTTTTTTCAAGTACTCGTTTGACATTCCAATTTTTTCTCAAGCATGAAACTACTTTTGTCTAATAACTTAGCATCATCTGATTGAGGTATTAAAAAAATTTTGTTTTTATTATGACAACTCTTGTTGACTATTCTAATTGATTATTTAGAGGGTAAGGATAATTTTGAATTGATATTTGGTTCTTGATTATAAATGAATTGATTATTTAAAAAGTTGATATTTCTTCAATTTTCTGCTGCACAGATTTTTTTTTTGCCAAAATTTTTGCCAAGACTTTCTTTTCCAAGTTTTTTTGACTGTAACAAAATTATTTTTGTTCTCATTATTTTACCACATATTCTTTTTTGAAAAGAAATAGTTTGTGGAACATTAAACATTTTTTCGAACTTTCTGAATCATTAAGAAAATTATCATGCTACTTTGTAAACCATCAATGAATGTAAAATACCTTATAAATATAATTTCTCATTATTTCCAAATTTATAAAATGTAATTATTTCATTATGATTAAAAATGTAATTATTTCATTATGATCACTAAAGTTGTCATTAAAACCTTACAACTGTGTTTAAGGTATGATGTGTTTTTTTATTGATAAGTTAAAATTTGACAGCTGGGTTATTCCAAATTAAATCATCCAGACCATGACACCCTTACGTCTCAGAATTTGTTCATTTTTACACCACTTGCAGTCCATAATAAAAAAATAATCAATGCGAAAATTTTAGTCAAAAATACACATGGGTTCCAGAGATATCATCAGTTGAAATAATGCTGACTCAGCATTTTAGTGATTTTCTGTAGCGACTACAAAGCAACTTTGACATTAAGTATCTTCATAATGGCTTGGGGAAATTTCCTAAAATTTGATACCCAATAGGTACTTTACTTGAGGAATCCAAAAAAAGCACCCTCAAGACTTGATTGTTTCAAGAAATGTCTCGTTTATCCAATTTTGTTCAAAATTATTGACTTGTAAATTAATGATTTTTGGAGGTAAAATGAAGACTGTGGCCCAAAATCCAGAGTAAAAAGTTTAATTGTATATCATTATTTCATCTTAGGTCTACTAAAAAAAGTAGATTCATCAATTGTCTCTCTAATACTTGATCAAAGTTTGTATTTAAAAATGGTGTCTTTTTAGAAAAATTTAAATTTTGTAACAAAAGCAAATAAAATATTTAAAAAAAAATTTATTTGAGAAAAACATTAAATAGTGTTATTTGTTGGCTAGTTTAGGACATTTATAGTCATTGTTTAAGGGAGGTCCAGAGGGCCTTGATCGACTTACGTCCTTCTCCCTCATATACCAAGATTTTTAATTTTTTTATTTTTATGTAAAATGAATAAATAATAAAAAATTGTCAAATTACAATTTAAAAATATATATTTTTTTAAATTTATGTTTGAGAAACAATTTATTTTAGTTATTTCAAATCGATAAATACCTCTTATTTTCAGGATCTTTTCACGATTTAAAAAGTTATTAATTTTAAAACAAAAAATATTGAAATGTTTTTCAAACATTTTAAAATCAATATCTTTATGGTATTATTTAGTAGTTCAAGAATAATATAGTCATTGACATAATAGGTGGAGATTGGGATTTATTTAAACCCCACCCCCACTTTCTCAGCCTACAATCCAAGGATTTGAAAAAAAGAAAAAAGACAAATTTTAAATGCAAAATAGGTAAATAAAATAAAAACAAAATTATTTTAAATGTAATTTTTTTTTGTAACCAACAGCTTATATTCTCTAAATCTAAATCAAATATGTTGCACGTACGACCTGCTATTGTTGTGGGTGTAGAAATTAGGCATATAACTTCAGAATTGAGCACCCAACACTCATCAGTTCTTATTGGCCAAAAGAAGTTTTTACCTGGTCCATGTGGATGCATGAATCTGACTTTTATATCAAGCTCACTTACATCTTCAGCAATCCCTACCCACCAAAATCCATCATAAAAACATGCAATATAATCAATTTTTTTAATGTTTAATGAAATCTCTACATTATGTTTTCTTTTTGGAATGATATCAAATATTTCAGTGCATGTATCAATACTTGTTTTTTTATAACTTATAGTGTTAGGAGCAATTGGAATAAAATTATGATACATCCTTGTGTTAGTAACAGTTCTTCCACCTGCATATCTTTTTTCTAATTGTAATTGTTTTTGGTCGATTTCTTCTTTTGAAAATAACTTAAAACAAATTCCATTTATTTTGGCTTTACAAAAGGAGTACATTAAATTAACATCTAAAATCTGCCCAGTAGTTATTTGTTTCAGACTTTCTTGACACACTACTTTTTTAACAATCCCACCAATACCATCACAAGGGGATTTACCATGACTGGTAGCAAAAAATACTCATTCAGCATTTAAATCAAAGTCTTTACTGTGATGACAAAGATTGATAAAATTTTTAAAAATTTTTAAATTGTGCTGCACAACCATCGGAAAAGTATTTCACACTTGATACATCAGGTAGATTTTCTTTGATATATCTAGTTATATCTTCCTGAGTCTTGTAAATAAATCCTGTATCATGGTCAACATCTTCTGAAAGGTAACAAAAGATTTATGTTTGAGAAGTTTATTCTCTATAAAATAAAGTACAATTGTATAAAGTGAACATTGAATTTTGCTTCAGTGATAACTTTGAACCTCATCCTGAACAACATATTGATAATTTCAGCAAAATCTCCTAAAATTAAGCATTCATTTTGGTTGAGATTTTCTTTACAGTTTTTTAAGTATCTACTTTGTGTTTTTGCGATATATGAATGAGTGGTGAGGTTGTCAATGCTGTCGCATAATAAACCATTAAAATCATCTAGTGGCAATGATTGTAATAGTAGTGTTGTACAATCGGTACTCTGCCATTGCTTGAATGCTATATCTTCTTCAAGCTCATGGTCCATAAACTCCTGCACTTTTATTAATGCTTCAATACCAGGGCATTGGTTACATTGATGCAACATACATTCTGCATTTTCAATAGAGCAAATAATCAATGCCATAAAATCTTTATAACTTTTATTCCACCTAATGGCATCAATGAGAAATTTTGTATTTTGGTGATGTATGCATACACATACATTGTGGGTACCTGATGCATTAGTTGTAATACACCATTTAGGTCTAAGAGTACAAAACTTTGACAAACTGACTTTGACTTTAGGGTAGTCTTTTTTAAATTCAACAAGTAATTCATTTAAATTGAGCAGCAATAATCTTTTTTGAACATGTTGGTTTTTCTTTACACTTACAAAATCATTTTTCCCTGGCATCATTCTTGAAAATTCATCACTTTGATAAAAGTTAATCACTAAATTTACTGTTTCTGATGAAAGTGGGTTTCCAGTTTTTTTTTCAGGCAATGATAGAATTCCATGCTCATTTTTAACTTTTCTTGCAGTTCGAGCAAGATACTCAGACACTTCAAAGTAGCTTGGTATCTTTGTACCTGTCCATGATTTCGGTGCGAGCGTTAACATTTGCACCTTATGGCGATAAGAGTCAGTCTCTGAAATTTTATGTTTTATTTCATACATTAAAATGTCTAGATCATGGTCATTGTTAATGTTGTTGTTTAAAATGGGGCTTTTTATTTCTGTTGTTAAAGACGTTTCTTCAATATTATATGCTGAGACCATTTTTGCAACTCTGTCAATAGTGTTCTTAAACTTTTGTTTTGCTGCAGGCAATTAGCTGTGTTTTGAAAAGCTTTTTAGTTTGACTGGTGAAATTCCAAGCAATTTTATAGTGGTATCTAACTTAATTTTTTTCTCACTTTTTGATTCCCATTCCTCCTGTGAATTTAAATCTTCAGTTTCTATTGCTTTTTTGTAACATTTACTGCAGAATTTTTGTAACATTTACTGCAGAATTTCCAACCTGGGGTTACATAAACGTTATTTTCTTGCAAAAATTTTGCCATGTCTATGGAAGTCTTTATATTACCTAAAAAGAAAATTTAGTTTTAGGTTTTTAAAATAACTGAAAATATAAAAATTTTTATAAATGATAAATTGTTTTTCTTTTAACTTCCATATCAATTCTGTTGTAAATAACGTTAGATTACCTTTTATAGCAATTTTTTTACTTTCTTTGTGTGTTATAAAAGGATCGCAGCACTTAGTAATTTTTCTATCAAAAAATTTTCCATAGAATTGCTCATGATAACAACATATAATTCTTATTGAACTATATTTTTCCTTTAAATTTGCTCCCAAATTATTTCTTTTTGTTTTTTACAAGGAAGATCTTTAAATTGAACAAAACCTTGTTTTCTAGGAAATCCAGTTTTGTGGCAATGAATGTTAAGACTTTTTCCAATGTCACATTTCTCTATATTAAATACTTTTATTATTTATTACCTGCCAAAAAAATATAAAATATATAAAATTCACAGTCATTCTTTAGGAAATTACAAATAAGTAAAGTATCTTTAAAAAGAACAAAACAAAACTTATGCTTGTTTTTGATATAATAGGAGGTTTTAATTCACCAATTTGAAATAATGAAAATAAATTGTTTCTCAAACTTAAACAAAAAAAATGTGTTTTTAAATTGTATTTTATGTTTAAAAAAAAAAAAGAAAGTTTAGTCGCTACAGAAAATCACTAAAATGCCGAGTCAGCATTATTTCAACTGATGATATCTCTGGAATCCATGTGTATTTTCGACTAAAATTTTTGCATTTATTATTTTTTTATTATGGACTGCAAGTGGTGTAAAAATGAACAAATTCTGAGACATAAGTGTGTCAAAAATTATTATTTTTGGATGATTTCATATGGAATTACCTAGCTTCCTTTCTTTTCATCCACAATTTTATCTAAAGGAAATAATCCAGTTATTGTCCAGTCTTTTCCAGATTCCAAAATTTTTACAAGTGGCAGATTCTCTTGATTTTTCTTAACAAAATATTGCCATGCTTTTGATTAATTTACTATCAAAGTTGTTGTTATGAATTGTAGAATAACTAAACGATAAATAAATTAAATACAACACATTACCAACAAAATAATATGTAGTTAAATAGTTCTAACATAAAAACTTATACATTCTTGGTTACAGATATTTTAATGTAAAATATATTTATTTTTTCAATAATGAAATGCATCAAAATTTTTCACTCACAAATCACAAAATTATAAAAAGCAAACAAAATGTTTTTTATTTTTTTCTTATTACTTTATTACAACAAGAAAAGAGTTTTCTTTAATTTTGAAAAAATAATACTTGTTATAAAAAATTTGTATTATTTAAGTTAAAACATATATCATTGGGATAAGTTGGCCATATCCCATAATATCCCACTGTCACTTTTACTCCCAGATCTTGTAATCCTTTTAATAAACCTTACTCTCTACTTGACATGCATAACTTATATGGAACTCAAAAATAGCATTGTGTATGTTAAGCAGAGTTTCATGATTTACATAATGGCACACTTTAGCCATAATGCCATTTGATCTGATGAGTTTCATTGCTAAGTCATTTAGATGGTCTTGGAAAGAAAAATTATAATTTATTTTAACACTGAAGGTATTTATCACAGGGGTAATTTTCTGTATGTTTAGTCTAAAATTAAAGTGTTTATTAGTTGGAGTAAGACTGTATTTAAGTTCAATTTATTTTTATAACCAAGAGGAAGTTGATAAAAATGAAACCACTGAACAAGATTTGCCAGATCACCATTTGTTAATTTTTTTAAGTGATCAGTATCAAGTTAGTAGCATCATCAAAATAGTTTACAAATTTAAAAGGAAGTATTTAATTCACTAATAACATTTTAAAAATTAAAAAAAATGAAGTGGTCCTAAAACTGCACCTTATAAAACACCATTTAAGTATTTTTTTAAAAATGAAAATTTTAAGATGAAAATTAAAAGTTCTCTATATAAAATTATGCCAGAGAGTTTTGTTTGCCTCGTTGAACTATGAGATAAAAACAACAAAATGATTCGTTAAATCAGACTTTCAATAAGACAAAATAATAGCTAACCCTTTGGATGGCTCAAATATTTATCTACATTTTATATTTGATTTCACATTTTTTATATTGATATATATATTTTTTAATAAAAATATATTTATATATCGTTTACCTAAAAAGTAATATAAATTTTCAAATCATAAAAATAATAAAAAGTTATGAAATACAGCATTAAGCAGCATTAAATTTATAGTATAAAAGTATATCAAAACAAAAACAAACAATTTACAAACAAACAAAAAAACAAACAATTCTAATTTGGTTGTTAATATCAGTGGCGTAACTATAAATTTGCCCCCCCCCCCCCTGCCCAAAAAGTAAGGTGGGCTCCCTTACTTTTTTACTTAAAGTTTTTTCAATGTTTAGAAATTCTAAACGTTCTAAATTAGAATGTAGCTTTTTTAAAAAAATGCCCGTAAGGATACGTGAAAAATTATAAATTCATAAAATATATTTGATAAAACAGAAATTAGTAACACTCATTATTATTACCAGTCATATTATTCATATGAGTAAAATTTGTAAATCTCCGCGGGGCGCTCTATAAGCTCCGGGGCCTCCCGCCTTGCGGGGTTATGCTCCCCCCTAGTTACGCTACTGTTTAATATAAAGTATTTTGCGACATAAGCTTATCCTTATGGTAATTTTTAAATGAGAACTTACAATGTAAGCATTATTCTTAAATTTTAATTTGATATAACTTGTTAAATAAGATTTTCTTTTTATCTTTTTTATATATAATTTGTACACAATGTAAAATTTTTTTAGACCTAAATTTAATGGCAATCCATGTAAAGGAGTATCTAGTGAAAACAGAGCTATTCTATCCGGTGACATGGGAGCATGCATACCATATACGTTCAAAAAATTAGTAAGTTTTTCATTAGTTACAAACAACATTTTAAATCTATACGTATATGTTCTTCTTTTTTTTCACAATCATTGTGCATAGGTATTTCATAATTATTGTACTTAGGTTTGTGGGGAGGGGAGGGAAGATGTTGAGAAACAAAATTCTAGAAAATTTATTTACCAGTGAATTTTAATTTTATTTAAATATGAAATCAAGTAAGTTAATTTGAATAAATATTGAAGTATAAATGTAGTAACAATGATAATTGTATGGGTGTTTTAAGAGTTTTAAGAGAAAACTTGCTATGCAAAAAATACAAACTCAACTTTTTTATTTCTCAACTTTTTCAAAATATTTGTGGTGTAATGTATAAAAATATTTATAAATTAAACTTTTTTATAAATTAAATATTTATAAATTATATTTTATATTTATACTATTTTATAAAAATATTTATAAATTGTATTTTATATTTAGACACTTGATGAAGTATTATACAATAAAACAATACATCATGATAATTGTGGAAAGATTAAAAAAGACAACAAACTTTGGATTTTATATTCTAGCGATATGCAGAAAGCATTTTGTACGTTTTTACTTTTTTATGTGTGTTTAATATAATAGTTATATAAAGTTCTTTAAATTGAACACTATAATTCTCAAAAAAAGAAAAAATTGAGAAGAAATAAACCAGTGATAACGACCAAAATGTGATTGGTTTAGTTTTTAAATAGTTTTTTTTTTGTTGTTGTTAAAAAAAGTTCAGTTTAAGTAAAATGGTTTTTGTAAAGTTCCAATAAAAAAAATCATTTTTCATTTAATCAATGAGCCTGTTGTTTTTAAAAATTTTAGGGTTGACAATAGTTTTTTATTTTAAAGTTATTTGTGTTGTTGATAAAGAATTAAATAAATAAATTGAAAAGTATTAATATATTGATTACTGTAGAACTACTTGAATACTTAAGTACTAACAAGTGTCTTTAAATTAATTTAAAAAAGTAAATGAAGTTCATAAACGTATATTTAATTATAAATAGTTATTTTTATAAATAGTTATTATTGATTTAAATAAGTTGATAATCACAGTTTTATATCACAACATCATTTCATCAATTGCATCAGCATTGCAGTGCAATTGCATAAAAGCAAACATTTTACTTTCATTTTTTAATAAAGTTCTATATAACAGTTTGAATTTTATTATGAGAAAATAATTAAAAATAAGTTTATGCAGTAGTTTAAAAAAAATAATGTCACTTATTATTGTTATAAGTTAGTGGTTGATATTAGTCAATGCCTAGATTAGCATATAAATATTGTAAGTGCCAAAATAAAAAAATAAATAAACAATGTTTTGAGTTTCATTGCTTAAGTAACAGAAAATTAGGCTGAGTTTGTAGCGTAGTTTCTTTGTATAGGGGGTGGGGGAGGGGGTAATCAGTTGACGTAATTTTATAGAGGGGGTCTCTGGAAATTAGACAAATTGTTGACAAGGAGGAGGGGGGGAGGTAAAAATTTCAAAAAATTTGTTGACGTAATTAATGGACAGCCCCTAATGGAGTGGTTATAATTATAATTCAATGTGTAATAAAAAGTAATGAATTGAATTGAATAATATTTTTTCAAATTAGATTTATTAAGGTCAAAAAAATAAATTCAAAAATGTTTACTTTTAGTTTTAGTTTTAATAACAAAATTTTAATTACAATGAAAACAAAAACAAAGCTATTTTTGAAATTTGTTTACTTTTCTAATTAATATTTTTTAAATTGAATTGATTTTGATTTAATTAACTGGATACATAATGATAAAATTCGGTCTGAGTTTTTGTAATGCTACCTCTAGGAAGATTACCATTCAAGGTTTATGAGTTCCTTCTACTCTTACCCTTCTAGCCTCATCTGCCCTCAACCCTTCCAAATAATAAATCAAAAATTGTATTTATGGTTTTACCAAATTTTTTTAAGTTGTTACTGTTTATTGTTTAAATTGTTGTTTATTTTTAAAATTGTTGTTATTAGATTTAATACCTCAAATACTTCATCAATTTTTTTTTAATGTTTATTTTAATTAGTATTACTTTTTTATTACTTTACAAGAACATTTTTTTTAGTTGACGATTTAAATGTTTCGTGCGATTTTGAAAAAGAAGGGTGCCAATGGAAAAGTTCTGAAAAGGGTGTTAAGGCGTGGAATATTGGTCAAGGCCCAACTGCTTCCTTAAACACTGGACCTTCTTTTGATCACACATTAAAAAACTTGTCTGGGCATTACTTATATTTTGAAGCTTCCTGGATTCAAGGCACACCACGTCTTAAGAATAACGATCGCATCATTTTGGAGTCCCCGACGATTTTAGCACCTTATGCATGTCTAAAATTCGCATATCACATGTTTGGAGTTGACATAAAAGGGCTTGAAGTGTATTTGAACAGTGGTATACATAAGAAAAAAATTTGGCATAGAGACGGACCTCTTGGAAACAAATGGAATACGGTGGAATTAGATCTTTCAATAAACATTGAATATTATGTGAGTATTGTTTGTTTTTGTTATAAGAAATTTATTTCATATATATATATATATATATATATATATATATATATATATATATATATATATATATATATATATATATATATTGAAGATAAGTATTGAAGCCGTTCGTGGTAATAGTCATCTAAGTGATATAGCGATTGATGACATCATATTGCATAATGGATTGTGTTCTTCATCAAAAGAAAATTGTAAGATTTTTTTTTTTAATTTTTTTATGCATTGTTGTTTTGAGTCTCACAAATAAAGATACATTTTCCTCAGTAACGCAACAGTGTTCAGTTACTTGCGTTGACAGCGAGTTAATGGCAATGTTAAAAAGCAGTGCGCATGACGGAGCTCCTTGTGTTTCCGCTGAAACAGAAAATAGTTTGTGCCTTGACAAAAAGTGTGAGGTAAATATTAGTATTTATTTATTTTGAAAATTTAGTTATGACTTTTGTATATAGTTTGTTACGACGTTACAAAAATTGTTTTTCAGCCAATAAACTGCAACGGAGTCATTGGGAAATTAACCTGTTAAAACTTTTTTATTGAGCATCACATGGCTTTTATAGCAGAAAAGCATTTACAAAATTCAACAAGTGCGTTATTTCAAATTATTTAAAGGCAAATATTTGAGTAAATAAATTTATTGGTTAGAATCAGTGGAATGTTAGAATTAATATTTCGTTAAAAAATGAAAAGATTTAAAATAATAATTTGAACAGTTGTATCTGAAAACGATTATAAAATGATAAACATATTTAAATATTTATGTTTCTTCGCTTATATGCTTTTTTGCATCCATTGCAAATTTGGTTTTTGAATATAAGAAAATTAGATTTATTTAATACTTCATAAAAATGTTTAAAAAAATATGAATATTAAATAAAGTAAATGTTATAAAACTCTCATTTAAAAGATTCTTACTTATTACTTATTTCTTACTTATTCCTTATTTGTTATTTTTTTACTTTTTATTACTTACCTATTCCTCATTTCCTAATCATTGTGGATAAAATAAATTATATATTAGTTGATAAAAAATCACAAGAAAAAAAATTTCTTTAAATTTAAAAAAATTTATTGCTTATCAATAAATCTTAAATATTTAGTCTTTAAAAACATGACTTAAGAATTACATTCAACAAAAATAAACGTAAATGTTAAAATAATAACATGACTTAATGTTTATGAAAACTAGACAATATTTAATTACAAAAAAAAAGTATTAATCAAAAATAATTTTTCTTTAGTTATAAAAATGATCTTAAAAAAGGTAGATGTAAGTAAATGCATGTACAAGTTCAACAAAAATAACATTACACGAGGAAAACTGTTCATTAATAATTATTTTAAATCGGAAAATGTTCGAATAACAACTGTACATTGTATAATTAAAAGTTATGAAAGTGGAGTGGGACTGAATGCAGAAAATAAAAAAACTTGAAAATAAAAAAAAAATGGAACAAAAATGTAAAAAGGTAAAGTCAACCTGTTGTTTATTTTGACAATAATCCCAAAGCAACCATTAGAAAAATAGCCAAAAAATTCAAAATTTCAATTACACACACTCATAAATTGAAAACATCAAATATCGTTACCAGGAAATCAATAGCACAACAGAGCAGCAAAGAGCTGTTGCTCGCCTTAGATGCAGACGCTTGTATAAAATTTTTTATTTTGGATGATGAATCTTGTTTTACTTTGCCAAACTCCACAGTTGTTGGGAATGATGAGTATTACTCCAGTGACTCTAAAAATGCTTCTTCAGACCTCAAGCACAAAAGAAAAACTAAATTCGAAAGTAAAGTATTGGTATGGCTTGCAATTAGTCCCAAAGATATGACTAGACCAGTAATCAAGCAATCTGGCTATTCTGTTAATAAAAATACGTACAAAAATGATTGCATTGAAAATATATTGATTCCGTTCATACTTCCGTTCAAGTACTGTTTAAAAAAAATCACTCCAGAAGTAGTACAGCAGTTTGCAAGCTCGACTAAAAGAAGATTGAATGATCTAGGATTATCAAAAAAGAATTGATTAACAATATTAAATTTACATTAGTCTAGCAAAATAATCTTAATTTGATTTTTTTCAAAAAAACATCCTTTTTGATATATTTTATTGTAGTTCCATTTTTGAGGGAACACCCGTTAACTTTGCGTTTGGCTGCGTTGAGAAACATTTTATTATCATCGTATCATCGTTGAAGACTATTTGCTACTTCTTGCAAAAGGGAAGAGTTTTTACAGAGTATGTAAGCATAACATATATGCTTATTTCTTTTGTTTAATGGCCATCAGGAGGTAGTCATTAATGCCTTGCATGCTTTCTTGTACCATTCCTGGTAACACATATTTTTATTCAGTAAGCTTGTTGTTAAGTATAACTCGTTGTTTACGGTTTAAAAGCCACTTTGCAATCCAGTATGATAATCGACTTATAAAAAGTCCTATGTAAGATATTACATTTTTGTTATAAAAATGAATATGATTAATAAAAAAAACATTTTTCATTGAACACGGTAATTTCAAACTAAAAATAAAAGTTTTTAAATCCTTCAAATACAGCAAGCATATTCATTTCTAATAAAATATTACTTTTAACGTTCGGTTAGTCCTGATAGTCGCTGAGTGTAGAATAAATACATAAAGCACTTGGAAAATGTGATTCGTAGAAATGTGTTTTCGTAGCCCTGTGTTGAACTTGCTCGTTAAAAACTATACATAATAAAATACGACAAATGTCTTTTAGAACGAATTTTAAGAAGTTTTCCTAAAGGGAATTTCCGTAAACCTAAGAATTGCCAAATTCGCTGAAATATGGCACAAATGTTTAGAAACATAAGTTAGAAAAGTTTTTAACATTTTTTCAGAAAACACTTTAATGTTATGCTTTTCAGAAAACACTTTAATGTATTGCTGTAATGCTGAAGTTTGGTACCAATCAATTTAAAACATGCCAAATCTAAAAATTATCACGATATAAAAATTATATTTAATTAAGTTAACATCTTAAAATTTACGAAATGGTTTAACTAAAAGAAAATATACTTTTTTTACTGCTTGCATGAACACGATAAAATCGCATTAAAACTTGCAATACTTTGTATTGGCAATCTTACAATAAAAAGAGAACACTCATAAAAATTTCTTAGCAAACTTGTTGACGAATATTTAATGTAGTTGAATTACACATCAATAATATTTAACGTGCGCTGTTTTACGCATTTCCCAAGAACTATTTATAAAGCTAAATATATTTAATGTCTAGCAGCTAAACGTTAATAATTTCCTAATTTTTATGTTTAAAGTTAATAATAATAAAAAAAAGTGTTTAAAATGATAAAGAGTTAAAATGATAACTTAAAAAAACGTTCACGCTACTAGAGGGGGAAAAGGGAGGCATAATTTTGTGACAAGGAGGAGGGTTTGATAAATGTGATGTCACAAATATCATGACAGTTTATTTTCTACATATTTACTCATTCAAATAAATAAGTGTTTCAGATTGTCAAAAATTTTACTCACACTACTCATGTTATGCGTATCGTCGTATCTTAAATAGTTTAAAAAGTTTGCAAAAACTGCCTTCACGTTTCTAAAGAAACGTGAAGGCAGTTTTTGCGTTGCAAAATCATTAAATTAAGAACGTATTTTACGTTAAATTAAGAACGTAATTGTTTGGAATTTTAAATGGAGGATATAAATAAAACATGATGAACATATTTTTATAACATTATATAAACACTCGAGTTTTATTTACATTTAAGCAAGAATATATAACCAAATAAATATATAATATATGTTAACTAAGTTAAATAGACTTGCTCATGCTTTAAATAGCCAATAGGATACACAGATTATTATCAAATAAAAGTGTAAATAGGATAGTAGCTAGTTAGCGGTCAGTATAACTAAGTCATTATAACTTAGTAATTTATATTATGGCATAAATGCAATAATTATAATTTCTCTAAATGAGTGCAAATGTGTTCCAATTCCATCAAAAACACGAGGTTCAAATAAAAGAACTATTTTTATTTTATCTTATGATGACAATCTTCCCCAATAAATTAAGAAGGTATTCCAAATTAGTTAAATTGAGTCTTTTTTATTCTGTTAAATAGCTATTATCATGTTGTTAGATTGTTGATAACCCGTATGTTTTTTTTTAATTTGTTTTAGAGGTGAAAGCGGAGGGGAAATAGGTGACATACCTTTAAGGGGAGTGCAGAATTAAATGACAGTTTGGAGGGAGGGGATTGAAAATTGAAAAAAATAGCGTGACTTTATGGGCGACCCAAAATGCAGTAACTTAAAACGGATAATCCGTCAACTGCTCGTTTGGCACACGGTAAATCACATATTGTTCGAATTACCTTTAACTGAAGGTATAAGAAATTTAATGCGAATATAGAATTAAGTCCAAGTCAACTAAGTCTTAACACTGTGAATTTCTTCTATACCCCTGGTCAAAAATTCAATCAAACTCAAAAACATTAAGTATAAAATACGGGATAAAGATTTATTATATGAAATTTCTAAAAAGTACGTTTTTCTTAAAGTTTTTATCAATGAAAAGTAAAATCAAAAAAAAAAAAAAGGAAAGTCAAAAAAAAAAAATTGAATTGAACAATTCATAAAAAACAATGTTTATTTGGACCCATAATTACTCTATTAGTTTGGTAATTAAAAAAATTATCAAAAACAACACAACCAAATCGATAGCAATTGCAAAAAAAATAAAATAATAATACGAATAAATTTTCATCATTAAAACGAGAAATATACAATATATCGGGTAAAACCGTTTTAGATAAAATTAAAATAAATAACCAAAATAAGATGTAAAAAAGTAAAAAATCATTAGCTTTTAGATTTCTTAGACTTAACGCACCATTTCAAAACTGCAGTCTACACAAATTTATGATTTTAGATAAATGTTGACTGACTTATACTATATTACAAACGATTACTTTATAAATATGAGCGTATACTAGAGATATATTATATACAAGGCATTTCTAGAGGCGCAATCGAAGAAACACAGCCGAACCTAAATAAAGTTTAAAAAATTTCATTTAATCAGCATAAGTAGAAATTTTTGTATAAATTAAATTATAAAAATCACAAAAAATAACAAAATTAAGAAACTCTCACCTAGGCGATTTATATTTTTGTTGTATTGCTTGCTGTGGGTTAGTGGACGCAGCTTGATGCAGTAAATGTATGTCATGCAAGCAGCTCTTTAAGTCATTAATATTATACCCAGAGTAAAACTCTAATGTTGGTGTCTTAATTTTAAGAAGAAAAAAAAAAAAAGTGAACATTCATTTTCGAAAATTGAGCGAAATTTCAAAAACACAAAAATTTAAAAGAATACGAAATCAACAGTATTGATTCAAAATAAATAAATTGGTATCTTTAAAATAAAACAATTTAAGTTAATGCAAATTATATGAAAATACAATTATATGAAAAAATTTAAAAATGTACATCATACCCATGGCATTAAATTCAATATGTGATTGGCAGAGCATATTGATGACGCGGCAATCATAGAAGGAGGATATTTAACAGATATTTCACAATTTATTAGTGTTAACTCAGATAGATACTAAAACAAATTGTACAGATGTATATATTTTTTCAATTTTTTTTACAAAAAACAAACTTTAACACGCTTACTTATTTAATACTAATGTAATCCATTTAACTGTATCGTCTTGAACACCTCAGTTATTAACCCTATTATAGACTTATAAGAAAATGATTTTAATGAAAAAATCTTTTAACACCACTTTAACATTGAGTAATTTCAGGAGAGAGGAAATGTGAGAAAAGTAGCAGGGCAGGAATTGTAACATTGCAAAAAATACGGGAATAATCAATATTATAAGCAATCTCAAGTTAAGCAAATTTATTGACAAATCGGGGCTTTTCGTCTTTTTTAAATTTAAATTGCTGAATTGTTATAAAAATTTGGAACTTCAAAAATTTAAATAAAAATGCAGCATAATGCTAATTCAAAATTAACCTATTTATTTAATGAAATGAAAAAAGACTAATATGATTAATAACCAAAATTTTTTAAAATAATAATATAAAAACTAATTTAAAAACAACAAACAATAACTTACTTCAGCTAAGTATTTTTGCTGACTTTCTGGTTTTGCATTAGCAGCATATAGGTATCGACTAAGAAAATCTCTGCAAGTGGGCACACTTAGATCAAAAGCAAGGGTTTTCAGTATCAGATGTTCCATTCGCAAAACCTATGCAAATGACAGACTTAAAAAGTATGACATCAATTCCAAAAACTAAAATAAAATTATTTCACTTAATAAATCAATTAATCCCTTTGTAAAAACTAAAGGAACATACTTGTTTTTCAGAATAAGTATCAGCTGTTATATAAACATACTTGTTTTGCAGTATAGGTATCATCTGTTATATATACAAACTCAGCAACTTCTGGAGGATATATTTCTTCAAATTTTCTATTAAAAAAACTTATTATTATTATTTTTCAAAATAAAACATAAAGAAATGTTTAAAAAATACTTACGCAGCAACAAGCATACAAGCTGCGCCAACAAGTTGAAGTTTCCCTCTTAATACCGACATATGCGACAAAAATCTATCAATATAACTGACTGACAAATAAAGTGTTTGGGGTATAAGTTTATATTCCTCACTAACTTCTACTAACCAATCCACTAAAATTGCACGCATACTGCTGTTTATATCAGTTTGTTTTCTCATATAATTGATTTTTGGACGGTATTTTGCCTAAAATAATTTAAAAATTTAATATTTGAAAGAAAATAATGAATTAAGTTTGAGACTTAGTGAGAATTTCATAAGTACAAATCTGTATCAGTGCAATGCATTACAAAAACTTAATCAGGTGTGAAATTGCATAAATGAATACTGACACAAGTGTACAAAAAAATTTTTTAACACTAGAATAAGTACAAACTAATAATTTTAATAAAATAGAGTATATATAACAAAGTAGATAATAAAGTAGAGTATATATAATAACTGATAGAAATAGTATTTTGGTTTGGTTGGAAAAGTTGTATTTTCATTATATACATGTATTATATATTGTGTATTTAACATGTATATTTTATATACATGTTAAATACATGTAAAAATAAAACAAATACATTTGCCAATCTTGATTTTCCTAAAATCTATTTTTTTAATATAGTTTAAAAAATTTTAATTATTCTAAATTTTTAAAAAACATTCAAGGGGCAAATTAACTCAAACTTACCAAAAATAAAAAATACAGTCAAACAAATTTACTGCAACAAAAATAGCTAAGTTCACTAAAACTCTCATAACTAACATGCTTTAAATATTGCTTGTAATCAATAAATATATTATGATAAAAGATTGTACAATCAAGGTGATTTACAAATAGTTAAAAACTAATCTTAAGTAAATACCGTGAAATAATATTAATATTACAAATAATAATGACGATAAATTAGCAATTATAATAATAATAAGAAAATTATTTGATAAACCGATTTTAAAACAATAATCAAATATTACGCACAGACAGAAAAGTTACAAATAGTTATATACTTACAAAACGTAACAACCTACTATTTAACTGAAACAACTACTGCAAAAAAAAGTAACAATGATTTAATAAATATAATAATTTTAATATCAATAATCATACTTATAACAATAAAAATACTATAAATATTTCTTTAAAATATAACAATAAATAATTTTTTTCTTTCCATTAACACTCACAAATAAAAATGTGTCACACACATATCACATATACACATCACACACAGAAACATTCAGTCACAAAAAGTATAGAGTGTTTATAATAAATAAAAATATTCAAATAAAAAAAGAAATCTTATCAAAATATTCAGCAAAACACATAGCATCTCCCGAAACTTAATAAAAATTAAAAAACTATTAAACTCAAGGCTTAATTTAACAATCACACATTGTCTGGCTAAAACATTAGATTGTCTGATCAATATAAAAAGTAATCAGACATTCTGACCGACAGGAATTGAGTTCTTAAAAATACTTTTTTATTGAAATAACTAAAGAATAAACTAATCAATTCCTTACAAAAAAGAAAATAAATTAGCTTTAAAGTAAAACTCCAAAAACTCGAAGTGAAAATTACTATTTGTTACAATTAAAATTGCATTTGAAAATTAATTACTATAAAACTTATCTTTTAAAACGTAAAACGCTTCTACTAATTTCTTCTATTGATTGTTTAATAACTGAACAAATTTAATTTAAATTATTGAAAAGTGAAATTAAACTATTAAAAAAAAAAAAAAAAAAAAATTTTAAGTTTGTACGAGCATTTTTTTCGAAAAGTTGCATAAAAAAATTGTTTAATAAAAATAATGTAGTCTTTTTAAAATAGTAATTTTAAAGCATGAATCATTTAATGAAATGATTCATGATTTAATGAAATGATTCATGATTTAATGAAATGATTTATTGATTCATTTAATGAAATGATTCATTGATTCATGATTTAATGAAATGATTTATTGATTAGTAAGTCAAGTTTAAAAATAAAACTTTTAAACAATTTTTTGTGATATTAGAGGAAAAAAAAAGAAGAAGCAATTAAATCAAGGGAAGATTTAATTTAACTTATTCTTAATTTATAGTAACTTTAAAAAATAATCAATTTAAAAGATTTATAGAAAAATGTGGAATAATAGTTTCAAGTATATAAAACTATTATAAAAAATTTATACTATACTACTATTAGTAAAAGTTTTAATAATACTAGTAAAAAAAAATTTAAATATAACATTTAATTTACACATAATACGCTTGTTTTAAACAATCATTAAAATTAATTTTTAATTTTATTTAAAGCCTTTGCGTAAAATCAAAACATAAAAAAAAACATCAAAACAGCCATTGTCAAATTGTAAAAAAAAAAAAAACACTAAAATACACAATACTGAATTGAAACTATTTTATTAAAAGAAAAAAAAAATTTGCGATGAAATATTCTGAATAATAAGAATCTTTACTAGACTAACGTTAAATAAACTGAATAACATGAAAGAGATTTCGATTGCACAACTCGGTTGCATAAAACTAATTTAATTTGACCGGACACTGACCCAAACAAATATTGATCTGACATTTTGTCCTGGACTTTATAGAAAATTAAATTGAGCCCTGTAATTTAAAAAATTAAATTTTTTTAGTTTCTTCAAAAATAGAGATTGATGATTTTTATATAATATTTAAATACTTTCTATTTTCAAATGTTATTTTCTTTTCACTTTTGAATGTTTTTGTTTCTGTTTAACTTCTGGTTTTTTTATTGTCTCGTTTCTTTTCTCTTTTTTTCCTTTTGTTTATTTGTTTAATTTGGTTTTTAATTTGTTTATGACTTTTGCTTTTTTCTTTCTTTCTTTTTGTTTTTTTCACTCTATTTTTATTTTATTTTTCTTAAAAACCTTCATTAAAACTTTTTTTTGTTTGTTAGTTGATAAAACAGATGTTAATCCAGGAAGTTTAAATAAAGAATAAAAATACCTATTTCTGCATGCCAAAATTAAAAAAAAAAGAAAGAAACAAGTTAAATTAAAGCACATTTTAATGAGGCAAAAAAAAACAACTGCATTTTATTCGAATTCAAAAGCATGTACAAATAAACAAACTTTAAAGGCAAGCATTTCTTGGTGATTCTTATTAGGGTTGAGCTTTTAACGGGTTTTAAATTTACCAGTAAATTATGAATAACACAAAAACTGCAATTTTTAGGACTTATTTTTCAACAAAAAATGGGCTTTAAGAAAGCACGAAGTCTCAAGTAGGTCATCATTCATTCTAAATTTTTGACCGAACTTTTGAGACAAATAGTCCAGCAGCAGAAAATGCTCTCTCTGATTCAACACTTGTGGGAGGGATAGTTTCCAGAGCATTGAATAACAGCTCAGGATTTGCAGTTGTTTTGCTAATGGCTTCAAAGACCATTATTTCTTTTGAAATGGCCTTAAATTCATCATTTAAGTTATGCCTCTGCTTTTTGGCTGATGTTCGATGGCCTCTTCCAATACTTCCTGGAGAGAAAGTTGTTCTTCAGCTTCTTTTCGTCCTTTGCCTGTCTCTACTTGATCCAAGATTTTAATGTCTTTTGTATGTATTGTTCAATGTCTTTTGTGTATGTATGTATTGTTCAATGTCTTTTGTGGGGAAAAGCCTTGAAAGCAATGACTTTACAGTTCTCTGAAGAACAGTCTTAGAAGGCATGTTGAAAATTTCATGCTCTTCAATTTCGTGAAGGCAGTCTGGGTTGGACAAATATTTATACAGACTGACCAAGTTGCTTTGTCTCCTCTCTGTAAATTGCTTCAAGACAGCATCTTTCATTCTGATGCAAAGACTGGATTTTTTCTGTTTCAACTTATTGATCAGAAACTTGAAGATTCCCTCTGCTGTTAACAGGGTGGCATTTTTCCTGCAAAGCTTCAGCTGCCAATTTCACTTGTCCACTGGCATCAGCAATGTCGGTCAAGATGTCCAACTCTTGCTCTGTGCAAATGAGACTTGGAGAAATATCTGCAAGAACAACTCCAATTTGTTTATTGATTTTGAGAAACTGTTGAATCATTGCCAAGAGGCTGTTCCATCTTGTTCGACAGTCCAAAATGAGAACAACTTCTCGGCCGTGGTGTTTTTTTAAACTTTTTCTTGGAGTACATCATTTTTGACTGGAGATTTCCTGAACAACTTGACAATCTTCCTAACTTTGATGATGACAGACTGGAAATGAACATTGACCTTTAGGAGAGAAATGCTTTCATTGATTTCATCATCAATGAATCTGGAATCTTCTTTGTTGTCCAAATCTGAATCTTCCTCCTCGTCATTGTCGCTCTCCACTTTTTCCTCGTCCAAATTGTTGCTCTGATTTTTTTTGTACAAAACTTCCTAAACAGCCAGATGAACCTGTGAATGTAACAAGTTTGATGTTCGTTAGGAACAATTTCCCCAAACTTGACCATCATTGAAGCCTCGTTAGTGGCAAAACAAACAATGCAATCAGCCAAGTTCAGTCCAAATTCTTTCACTCTCTCTGAGACAACTTCTGCTGCTTTTTCTGCAGGGAAATCTCCAGAAACATGTGTAAGTCCAAGGTTCCAGTGTTTGTTCTTCTGGTGAATGTTGATGATGAGAAATCTTCGGTTTTTCAGGGGTGTGTATTCATCCAGAGTGATGGAAAAATGTTCTCTGGTCAACAACAATGAGTTTAGTTGATTTTTTAACTCAGCTATAACACTGGCGGAATAGTTATTCTGTCATTGCCAACCAAATGAATGTGCTTTTGGTTAAAGCATTAAAACTAAATCCGACCAAGGTTGCCAGTTTTGAAAGAACTTTACTAATTGATTACTTCTGAAAAAATGTTGAGATTTTGGGGGCTGCTTTGGCTGCAGGTTTTCTTGTTTCTTTTTTGTGCTGGGGCTTTTTTATCCCATGTTTTTGACCAAGATGGTATCACATTCCTGTGTAGATCCTGTGAACTGAGTTTTGTTCCCACATATCTTGCAAACATTTTCAGAACGATCTTTTTCATGTTTCCAGACTCCAGACATTTTTTTATGAAAACTGTAATTATTTTATGTGTGTCAGTTGACTGACTAAAGTACTACTTGACTAAATAAATAATAAAATTAAATAAAAAATGAATAAAAAAAATAAACATTAACACTTTCTTTTAATTCATAAGATGCATCAAGTGGCATCAGACGCCATTTGTAATAGAAAAATTTATTAAAAAGTTCAAAATTTGTTTGTTTTGATATGAATATTTAATTAAAATTGCAGAAAAAGCTTAAAGTGCTTTTTTTCTTAACTTTTACCATTTACAGTCAAAATTTACCGATAAATAGGAAAAAAAAATTTACTGGTAAAATGGTAAAAAAATGGTAAAAGCTCAACCCTAATTCTTATGGTCTGAAAAATGTACACAATGTTAATTCTAAATTTGGATTCGTCCAACTTGACGGACAAATAACAAAAGGAAATATTCGTCTGACCAGGTTACTTTGTGTCAACATTGTTGGAAAACATAATAAACTTATTTTCATTAAACCTTTTACCGAGGAATATAACAACTTGCAACTACAATTGCTTCAAATTATAAACTTTCAAGATAGCTAAATGGCTTTGGCCCAATGCAATTTGGGATCGCCTGGTTTGCCCCTCGAACATTGTTAAATTATAAAAAAAAATTATAACACAAAAGCTACAAATAGATCTTGCAACTATTGCAACACCTTAATGCAAGACTTGCAACAAATTAACTAAAACACAATTTATATACAATATACATTTTGCTATTAAAAAGTAACATTCATTACATTCAAATATTTTATAAAATAAAACAAACCTCTGATTTCTTTAAGTAATTATGTATATCTTGAGCATACTCAGGAAGTTCAAAAACTCCATGTAACTTGGCATCTATGTCTTGAATACTATTTATAGCAGAATATTTTTTGCAACTATCGTCAGAAACAAACGGTGAAAAAACCATAGGAGATTCTAAAAAATTTAGAATATAAATTTATATATATATATATATATATATATATATATATATATATATATATATATATATATATATATATATTTATAATTTATTGTCTCAATATTTGTGACATTGCATATCTTTTTAAAAATTGAAAAAAATTTTCTTACCTTTTAAAGTATCAAATGTAGATGATTCATTGTAAATATTCTCTTTGTACAATACAGACTTTGTATCATGTATTTGTATTGAACTTGACCATTTTTGTACATCGCTTGCAAACTTGTTATCAGATATACTTTGAAAAGGCTAAACAAATATGTAAAAAAGTACTTTCTGAAGCAACCTTCATTAATTTCAGGATTCGAAATAAGTAAAAAGTATATTATTTGGCTCATACTAAAAAAAGATTAGTTACAAGATTTTGAAACTTGAGTTGAAAACTTCTTTTATACTTAGTTCTTTACTATTTAAAGAATTAAACTAATTAAAGATAGTTATTAAAGATAGGTAATATTAGAATATGTCAATATTATAATATAACAATGTTTAATATTATAATTGTAGCTTTATAAAAAAAACTTTATCATTTCAGGCTCAAATCAGAAAAACTAGATATTAGCGACCCTGAACCATTTGCAAGAACCACCTGAGAAAGCACCACAAACAACAGTTTACAGTCTGTAAAAAAAATCTTATAACAGAAATGCACACAAACCTACTAACCTTAGATCTAGGCATTTTATGTTTCATTTTTATGGACAACAATACATATATATATATATATATATATATATATATATATATATATATATATATATATATATATATATATATATATATGGCCTATTCTAGGAAAAAAAAGGGGTGGCGGTATCCCCTTGTTTTGGCGGACTTAAGCGGTAAATATTGGTGTTTCTTTTTTCGCAAAAAAAAACATTTGCTGTAAAAAAAGAAAAAGAAAAAAAAGAAAAAAAGAAAAAAAAAAAAAAAAAAAAAAAAAAAAGAAAAAAAGAAAAAACCTTGAATTTTAAATTGGGCAGCACCCAAATATGGTTGATGCTGTCGAAAACTATCTAGAATAGCCCAAGATATATACAGGGGCTATTCTAGGCACCACCCAAATTAAAATTTGAGGACTTTTTTTTTTTAATGGCAAATATTGATTAAAAAAAAAATAAAAAAATTTTTTAAATAAAGTTAAACTTTCTTGTTTTTTTGATGTTGTGAAGAAAATAAGTAAAAGGTATATTATTTGGCTAATGCCAATATAATAATAATAAGAAGAAAATTAGTTTTTTTTATGTTGTGAAGAAAATTAACTTTTATTACTTTTTTTTTTGGTTGTTTATTTACTTTTTTTCTACTTAAAGGGATCCCAAACACCCAACACATGTTGAGTTCATATTAAAGATAATGTTAAAAAAAAAGGTTTGAATCAAATTTTTTTGATTAAAAATAAATAATGAATGCATACAGTGAAAAACAAATGTTGTTGTTTTTGCCAAAGCTTGTCTTTTCCATTTATTTCAACCACTCGGAGTCTTCAAATTATGCGTTGCAATTTACAGACTTTGGCAATTCCTTTGAAGCCCGTTTAATTCATAAAAGTTTTAGTATTTGACGTCAAGGTAGACTTTTAACAAAAGAAACTCTGGAAATATTTTTATTTATTTTTAGTTGAAGTTTTTTTGGTTATTTGTTTAGTTTTTTTTGTTTCTACTTTTTAATATTTAAAAAGATATTAAAAACCTTAAATGTTTTATGCTGGTTCGTTGCTATAAATTGTTATTGTGCCATATATTTAATGTTTATAAATTATGAATATTTATTATCTCAATCAAGACTCTGATAAAAAAATGTTTTACATTAATTACCCGTATAAAATTATTATCTCAATTATAAGACTCTGATAAATAAATGTTTTACATTAATTACCTGTATAAAATTAGTAACAACATTTTTATTTGGTTAGACGATATTTTGTCTCAATTTGCTTGGGGAAGTCAAACAAAAAAATTAGTTTGAATAATCACGTCGAAATATATTTAAAACAAATTATTTAAATGACGGGGGTACTAAAGTCTTTTTATAACAAAAGTAGGTAAAAAATAAATAACCAAATAAAAAGTTCAACATTAAACATCTTTTTTTTGTTATATTGCAACTGTAATTATTAAAATATTAACTTTAACTATATTTACTTATTATTTAGAACGACTTAGCAATAAATAAAAAGCCCCTAAAATTATGTAATATTGTGTTAATTTATTCTAAGATCAGAAAAGGCCCTAGGAACGTATTTGTTCCTATAGTATGTAAAATATGTTAGAGTAAAAACAAAATTATGTATGGAGTTGCCGACATTTCAAAAGTTTCATTATCAAAAATCAAATGCAAAATGAAATGATTTTTTTTTATCCATATCCAATTTAGCAAGTTCAGCAATTTAAATTTAATCAGTGTAATCAAAAAATTTTTATAATAAAAAAATTTAACAGTTCATCAAATATCTCTAATTAAATGAAAGCAATTGCTTGTAATTACTTTTTTTCGACGGAAAAACAAAAAACTTCATAGCGTAAAAATGACCAGAAAAGTTAGAAAATATTTTTGATTGTTTAATGTAAGATTTAGAATATATAATACTGCGCTCTCTTGCACAAAAACGAGAGACCGTATATATAATGTTCTATATAATGTAAAATACTCGTAAGAAAATCATAAGATTGGTAAGTAAAGCTTTAATATTTGTTTTAATTTAAAAACAAAAGAAATACAAGTGAGATATATAAATCGAAAAATTATTAAGATATCTGTAAAAAACAAGTTGCTCCTATAAAATAAAAATAATTTATCATTTTTTCTTTTTACAAATTTTTTTTTGCGATGTTTAGAAAAATAATACAAATAAATTTGTTTTGCTGTAAGTTAAAAAAATACTACAGTAGAAAAACGCAGCTTAGTTTAATTACACTTTTCTTTTGTTAAAAGTCTACCGTGACGTCAAATACTAAAACTTTTATGAATTAAATGCGCTTCAAAGGAATTGCCAAAGTCTGTAGATTGTGACGCATAATTTGAAGACTTCGAGTGGTTGAAAAAAAATGGAGAAAACGAGCTTCGGCAAAAACAACAACATTTGTTTTTCACGGTATGCATTCATTATTTATTTTTAATCAAAAAAATTTGGTTCAAACCTTTTTTTTTAACATTATCTTTAATATGAACTCAACATGTGTTGGGAGTTTGGGATCCCTTTAAGCATTTTTGGCAGTTTTTGAAAGTTATGTTTTTGTCATGAGTATGTCACGCTAAATTTATCTTATGAATAGATGATAGTCATAGATTATAATAATAGATGATAATTTTCTTTAGAATTTAAATTACTTTATATAATAGATATAAACTTAAATTACTTTATATAATAGATAATAATAGATGATAATTTTCTTTAGAATTTAAATTACTTTAAACCTCTGCGTGGAAACCAAAAATATTCAAAAGGTCGTTCAAACGAAAAGTTTTAATGACCTTTTGAACATTTAGGTTTAGGAGTTACTTACCCTTTAAAATAAATAACAAACAAAATAGAATTTAAACAACTAATCATGCTTTTTTGCCACGTCAAATTGTTTTGCTTTTTTAATGCCTTTTATTTGGTTTTTATACTTTATTTCAACATGCGCTTAGCTTCCAGGTCAACTTTGTAGCTAATTTAACTAATTACATAAAAAACTTTGTTATGGGAACAAGGCTCAAATTAAGTGATCACCAATTGTGATATACAGAAATGCTTACGATCTTTAAATTTTTAGCTTAATAAACCCGTAAACTCTGTTTTTATTACTAAACTCAATATTCAATAAAAAAATATATTGGAAAAAAAAGTTATATTTAGAATTATGATACAAAATGCATTTTAAAACCATATTATTACTACTATTTATTTATTATTATTTTTATTATTATTATAAATTATGATATAAAAGTTAACATTTTAATTGATTTTATAAATCATCAGATAAAACTAGAAAAATAAAGCATGCAGTATTACAAATGTATTATTAAAAAATAACTGCTAATCACAACAGTCTAAAGGAATTTAGCAGTGATCAAATATTTTAAATAAAAAGAATCAGAAAAAAAGATATAAAATACTTTTATAACACAAAAAAACTAACAGTTCTATTTGTGTTAATAGTCCCTGTGTAATAAGATTAACTAATTATAATAAATAATTCAGGACCAGGAGGTAATCCACTGTTATTAAGGGTGGTAGCTCTTCTTGCTACTCAAGACTTGACAAGACTAGTTCTTGTTGTGTTAAGAAGTTCTATTTGTGTTAATAGTCCCTGTGTAATAAGACTAACTAATTATAATAAATATTTCAGGACCAGGAGGTAATCCACTGTTATTAGGGTGGTAGCTCTTCTTGCTACTCAAGACTTGACGAGACTAGTTCTTGTTGTGTTAAGAAGATGCCAGCATCTCAAGTAAATATCTCAACTGACACACAACCAGTGATTGATGACAGCAAATTTGAGCGACAAATTTGAAGGTTATCAAAAAGCTTCCAAATATAATCAGCTGGATGTACATTTTGTCATTTCAAAAATGAGAGATGAAATGACAGGTATGAAAAATGTGATATACGACCAAAGAATCGAGAATAAAAAAACTCGAAAGCGGTCCAAAAAAATAAAGTCATAAGTGCAACAAATCCATTTAACAAAACATTTGCAATTGCTCTTATTGGAAACTTAACTGAACAAAAAACAACTTTCAAAATAGTAATAAACCAAAAACACCAACTACAAAAATGTTAGTCTACTACATATTACTCTAGAAAAGAACTCGACAACCTAGGCGTATCCTAGATTGACCGTTTCATTACATCATCAACTGACAAGAATGTACTGTCAGACTAATCAACAGTATTAAATCAGCAATTGCAAAATCAACTATATTCGCTAAACCAAGTGAAGTTCGAGAAACAGTCAAAGTTGCAAACTACAGCTTTGACTGTTTCTCGACTGACAGCTGCAAATGTCCAGTGCTGCTGTCAATAACTAATCCATCAAGAATACAAACACCAATAAGACAAGCCCCCCCCCCTCCAAACTCAGACCAAACAAACTCAGCTTAGCTTTCTTATTTCCAAACCTACTTCTGAACTCAGTCAACTGCGTTTCTGGGCAAACAACCCTTGCTCACTTAATGCCCAAAAGCTTAATGAACTGAGGGCACGTGTTGCTAAAACAAATAATAAACCACACGTTATATTTATTGCAGAAACATGTTTACCA